TCCATTGCCTTTTGCGTTGAACACTGTCGCATGTAACCCATTTTTCGTTACATGTTATGATATCTTTAAGGAACGATTAGTTAGGATAAAACGTTCATCATTACAACTGGTTCCTCAAAACGGAAATTTCTTATGACTCAACCTAATATATCAGGTGGTAGTAGTTTGTTCAAAGTCTTACCCACCCAATCTTTTTCATCAACGGTCATGGCATGTCAGATACAAGACAAATTTTGTCCAGATATCTGGCAATAGCAGTGATATTTAGTAGAATGTTATTCAGCCTGATGACAAACCAAAATTCCTTGTCTTATTTCGTCTGAAGAAAACGAAACAGTGCTTTGTTGATAGTAAAGCCAAAATAATTTTACCCAATTATTTGAGAAAGCATTTTATGAATGAAAAAGACTTAAGCAAATCTATTTTCATAGCACTGCCTAAGAAACCAGGTGCAAACGAATGTGAATTCCAACGGACAGTTAGCCTAATGAACCATATAACAAAACTTATCTGAATTCTACTGAATAAAGCGTGTAGCGGAATCAGACCGGATAATAGGACAAGAACGGTGTGTTTTCGTTAAAGACGCCGGAACAAGGAATGCTATATATATGCACAGAAGGATATCAGAAAATGCAATAGACATGCAGAAGGATGTGTACCTGTGTTTTATAGATTATGCAATAACCCAGAAGCTATACTGGCAGAATACCGCCTGCATACGGATAGAAAATGAATTCAGTCGATAACTAAAAAATAGAAAGGAGACAATGATGTGCCATTACTCAACCTGTACAGCAAGGTGATTCTGAAAGAATTAGGTGTTCTACCAGGATTCATTATTGGTGGCCACAATTTTAACAACATAAGATACGCAGATGATACAGTGATGACAGCAGACACGGAATGGAAACTACAAGAAGTTCTACGGAAAGTAGTGAAGGAAAACGAGAAGAAAGGACTAAATACCAACTGCAAGAAGATGGAATACATGGTTTTTAGCAAAAGGAACAGTCCAACATTCAAATTACAAATTGAAGATGCCAAAATTTTCGTTACAACAAAGAAAAAAGTCAGTCAGTCAGTTATGTGCCATACGTGATATAAGCATAGGCGATCATGCATCTTTCGATACATGACTGACGAGGCAGATAGCTCCGTAACCTGATACACTAGAATTTTTTATCTTAAATGTGATTAATAGAATATTATCCCCTTATTTGTAGATGATAGATTCCAAAACTTCCAGCGGGTGTATGAAACCGCGGACAAAATAGAAGCCTATATATACTTTGTTTTTCCTAAGATTAAGGTTACTTTATAAATTAAAAACAATAAGAGATTAACAACCATAATTAATAATAAAAGAGAACAATTATTAAAAAATATAATGTAATAAAATTTATGTGATGAATAGTATATTCGTTCTTACCATAGACATGTAGAGCGAAGACGGAAATAAACAAGACAATCAATGATCAAATGAGAAAAAATGGTTTCTGAGTCGCAACATTCGCGCATTCTTCCGGTTAATAAATTAATCCTTTGAAAATAAATGTTTAACATTTTTCAACCAATGGGTTGCGTTCCCGCCGACAATAAAAAATATACTTTGTGATCCGTTTGAAGAGTATTTGAGCAAAGTTCCGAGACGGACAAAAGAAGGAGATAGAGACGAATGCATGCGACATCAATTCACGACAGCGTTTCCTTTACTCTTTTACTCTCTTCCTCACCAAGCTACGTGACATTTACACTTTCCTCCTCACTTTTTCCTTTGCCTCTTTTTTTTCTCACACCTACACTCGAAGAAATCACATTTCTATTCATCTTAACAAACAAGGAACTTTAGCACAGTAACCGTAAGAACGCCCATACCACTCATACACATTAAGGAAAATTTAGTTGTAAAAACATGAAAATAAAAATATTTTATATTTAAAAAAACTTTCTCGTTTTTTTCTTTGTTGTATATTGATTCAAATCTGCAACAGACTTTACTAGGCACAATAAGACATTAACAACAATAACTAATAATTAAAATAGAATGATTTATAACAATATACTTCAATAAAAGATATGTGTAAATCTTAACAATCTTATCATACGAGTTTTTCTTTCCTTATTAAGAACTTTTCAACTTTTTCACTTCTTTTAAGCGCATCCGAATTGCTAGCATCACGTCTCATACGCTTTGGGTCAATTCAGTCAGTTAAATGTCATACATGATACATGCTTGAACGATCATATCTCTTTCTATTCATGACTGACAAGGCAGAATCTTTTTCCCGCAGTAGTTTGCCGTTTCTTTCTGCAGTAGATTGGTTGGCAAACAAGACTATAGGACCCAAATTGTCCTATTCAACTCATACCTGATTTGGAAGGGAGGGATTCATACCTTTCCCAAGGGTATTTGCGAGAATGTAACGGAGTTGACTGGAATTTGAACTCGGCTCTCCGATTTCTCATTCCAAGCCGATATCCTTTTCACCCCAACGCACATCCTTGGGCAATTACGAAGTAAAATTTTGAATTTCATGAGCCAGCCAGCCGTGGATAATTCAAATTGTAAAACCGCAGATAAAGTAGGGGGATTTTATAACATTTATTTCGCAAGAATCTGTAAACTATTTAACATTAACCATATAAGGTGTGTTTTCTGAATCACAATTCTCTGCCAAGTGTATTAAAATTTTAAATTGATTGTCCCAAAAGTCAAAGAATAAACAATGTAATCAATCCGTTAAGAAGAAAACTGTATATAGCCTAAATAAAACGATGTGCTCTTGGCCTTCGACGATTTCCCGTAATGCAATCATATATGCAGAGAACAATCTTAGAACAACAACCTTTTTGCAAAGCAGCCATATTATTACGATGGCCATATTGTTCTGATGTAGATACATTCAAAGATTACCTAAAAAATGAGCATTCATTGTGAACCTTGAACTTATGTCAGTCTGTTTGTACATCTATTGCAAATTTATTTTGAAACTATCTCTCCTAAGGGCTATATTCTCTGTGAACACACATAAGCCCTTTTCAGGGCTACTTACTTTGAATTTTTTACATTTGGATAACCGATGTTCCTGTTGATTAAGTACCTAAAATATAAGTTGCTTTATGATTTTGGTATTCATAACTTATTGGTATTTACTCCAAGAATCCTAGTCGGGCATTCTCTGTGAATGCACAAAAGCCCTTTTCAGTAATACTCACTTTGAATTGTTACTTTTGGATAATCAAAGAAAAGATATGAGAACAGGAACTGGGGATAACATCTGTTTTCCAGGGGATTACTGGGTATGTCAGCTAGTGTATGCGCGAGTGTGTGTGTATATATATATATATTGTAAAATAAAAATATCTATAAGAACACCGGATTATATATCTTACTGTTCTTTCTTATATATATATATATATATATATATATATATATATATATATATATATATATATATATATATATATATATATATATATATATATATATATATGTGTGTGTGTGTGTGTGTGTGTGTGTGTGTGTGTAAAGTGTATATAAATATAAATAAATATAAGTATGTATAATTATTTATATATTATATGCGTAACTTATTAGAAAGCGCTCAATATCAGAGAATCATTTCAACCAATTTACAATTTCTACCAATTTACAATAACTATTAGCTAACTATCATTGTCTCCAATCCCTTGAAACATTACTATCACATCATATCATATAGACCCGTTATTAAATTGAACTACCCTCTCACCCAGCACATTGAATATTAAACTAAACATCACCATATAAATTAACCAATAAGGATTACAAATTTCTACCTGTTACATATACACAGTCACCAAAATACAAACAAATAACCAGCTTTAAATATAACAAATAAACCCCCATTTTTTTTTTTAAATTTAAAAATAAATATAAATAATAATAATTTTTACCTCTCATAATTTTACACAAACCCCACCACACGCATATACATACATGCGAGGAAATATTTTTCAGCGGGAAAATACATAATATGACATGTATACAGTAACGAGACATTTCCGCCACACTTCCAATGTTTTAATTTCAACATTTCAACATACAAATGCGTATGTATAAATATAACACCACCCGTATACATACATGTGTCATAGCCGAAACTACCCACATATGTTTATATATGTATGAGTCCCGACGGACGACCAAGTATGTATATGTGACTGCATACATCGATGTTTGCGTTAGTACCAATAATGACAAAACGACGAAATTTCCCCCACCACTTCCACAATAACAGCAATACACGCAATCTACATAAACCCAAATTTTTTAAAATATTAATCAGTTTGTCTGACGATCGTTAAAGCGTGAAACCCAGGGTCACAAAGTCACATCTATCCAACCAAATATATATATATATATATATATATATATATATAGCTTTTGTATTTGAAGGTCTGATGAATTGGAACCGTTTTTACAATCATGAGGAAATTATTACCTCGTGATGTTTTAGTGTTTGTCCCTTTCATAATAATAATTGTTGCTCTGTTTCTAACAGAGCTCTCCCTGGATTTATATCCTTTTGGAAATATCCATACTGATCACTAATATTATCATTATATATATATATCTGTGTGTGTGTGTGTGTGTGTGTGTGTGCATACATTTCTAGATAAATTATTTTCACTGTAGTTATTTTATTATGAGTTCTATTTTATTATAGTTTTTTGGGGGTTGTTTTTGTTTAGCAGCATACCAGCCTCTATGAGTTATTTAATGTCAAAATCTAAATATTCTTTTTGTATACAATTTTATTTTATTTTAGAGATAATAATGATTTAATGATACAAGTCTTACTAATTAACCCATAGCTGGAGAGAAGGTGGATTCATAACCTTTCCCAAGAGTATTTGTGCATAAGTGAATATAAGGAACCCAACTAGAATAGGAAATTGACTCACTGATTAACAATTCCAAGCTATTACCCATTACACCACCTGCACATCCAAGGTTACAGCACCTAGTATTCCTAAGTGGTCACCCATTTAAGTACTGACCAGGCTTAGTGTTGCTTAACTTTGGTGATCATACAGGAACCTGTTTCAACATGATGTAGCCATAAGCCTACTTCATTATTGCTGTTTTTTGTTTTATTTTAAATACTCTGAATTAGTATAATCTTTGACCAAGAGAGGAAACAAAGTGAAATCAGAAATGGAGCATTAGATTTTGACAAAGTTTAAACTCATGTCCCATATGTTAGGTGCTTATCTTTCATGGACATTGCCTTAGCCAGTTAAGCCACACAAGCTTTGATGATTAAGCAGAGTACAATCTGTAGCCATTCCACCACCAATTCTCTATAATATTTTTTAGTACCTAATAATAATAGAATCATTTTAACATTTTTAGATGAAGCATTTTGTTTATTATTTTATTATGAACCATTCATAATCCAGATTTATTTAAATAATTGAACATATATTAAAATATATTCTAAAATCAAGCTAAAAAGATAAGAAGAGATTTAAAACAGGGAATAAAAAATGTTTATTAAAACATATGCAAAAAGTAATTAAAAATAAAGAGAGAGAAAGAAAAATGGAGACATTGAACCATCAAGTGGCTCTATGATTGGAAAGACAATTTTAACATGACTTGATGACAATCACCTAAAGACAGAAAAAGGAATTGAGATACATATATGTTAGACTAGAGTCTATCAAGGTTGACAATAGATGCAACATTTTTTAAACTTTTTATTACCCAGAAGATAGTTATAAGAGAGTAGTTGAAATGTAACAAGCCAAAACATATTTTCTTTTGGTTTCCTATTTGGAGGAAATGGTTAATGAGCTTTGAAAATAACAAAATCTTCATTAAGATGACTATTCTGTATAATATAGATTTTATCATCTGATCAATACTAACAGAGAAACAGTTGAAATTATCAGAAGTTTTAATTTGTATCGGAGGAGAATTCACATTTAAATGAAAAGTGTCATGTCCTTAGACCTAATCAAAAAAAAGAAAAAAAAAAAAGAAGAAATTCTGCTGCTATCCACTTGAAATAAACAAAAATGCAATTAAGATTTCAGTTTTCTAATCAAACTTATATTTCACACCTTATGTTGATACAGGTGAATAATTTTTTTGTGATCAAGTCAAATAATCAGAAAACAATTGGCAATATTAATGTAAGATTCTGAAAGTTTTCAATTTCTGGATGTCTAATAAGGTGCAAAGGAAAATTTTTTTTTTTTTTTTTACCATACTTGTATCGAAAACTGAGGAATTTCTGTTGATAGCATTATCAAGAAACAGTCAAGAATCAAGAGTTGTAATCAGAATGGAATTCATCATCACAGAAGTTAAACCACTATTTACTAACTTGATTTACAATAGTGATTTTCCAAGTGTAGCTTGGATGTGGCACAAGGCCGAAATTAAGGGGCACCCAGTGAGGATCAAACTCACTACTCAATCATAATTGTTCTAGTGAGACAAGCTTGCTAACCATTACACCACCACGAGATGCCCTAACTTGATTTACAATATCTGCAAAGTAATTTTTAAGTAGATATGGATTTTCTTTAATTCAAAATTATTTATTACTATAAACACTATATTTAGTGGGTACATGTATTTCAGTAGAAAACTTGGCTTGTTTTAAACTGAAATTAATGCCTTGAGATCAATTAAAGAAAATGTGCCTCCTGATAACTGTTTTCTCTTTTTTCATCAGGGAAACTACTTTTAAGCTAAGTGTGCCTTATCAATTAGGCCACATGAAGCCATCATGACAAAGCAATACTCAATTACCCTATTTAGAAATGCACATCTCTCGTTGGGATCTCTTGAAGTTTATACAGGGTGTGGCAGAAATACTTCCCACATAATAGTAAGACATTAGTGGCAATAGTGTGTTCATCTTGCTAATGTTTTACCATTATGTGGGAGGTATTTCTGCTGCACCCTGTATCTGTTAAGTACTTAAAATGTAAACAAATTAATTTCAAGCCCTTAATGGATTTAAAAAATGCAATATTATTTCTTATTACTATAAATATTATGCTTAATGGGTATACATGTTTGAGGAGACATAACTGTTTGTTTTTATTTTTAAAAAGATGTCTACTCAAATATATGTACCTCCTAAATATAACGTTTATAGTTATGAGAAATTTCAACAGAGAATGCAATTTTTAAAAGAATCGAGGATACCATTTCCCTTACTTGAATCTGGGTGAAAATTTAAAGTATTCAAGCAAAAAATAGTTGAATAAAAATTAATACTTTCCTGAGACATGGCATGCTAGCAACTTCTGCTGATGGATCTGTATTGTTAACAATGCAAATGTTGTTTTTATTGTATATTTATGGAGGTCAATGTATTGTATTACTGCATCTAGTTCAGGACATGTGTGAAAGTGTTGAAATATTCACATAATGAATAGCAAATGAATTGATCTTTCAACCTAACTGAAAGACAAAAGTTGATTTATTTGGGAAGGTAAAGTTTGATTCTCTCCAGACAGATTTGTTGATTTATGGGTAATTTGGAGGGAAAAAGAAGAGAAATAGCTGTCAGAATTGACAAAAGTGGAGAGCCATGATCACCCACATCCCGGAGAGACACAGCACATAGAAGAATATTTATGAAGTATTATGATTTAACATTAATAAAAGTTGAAAAAGAATGGCGTAGGCAGTTAGGACACACAGGCTGAGATGACTGCCAATATTGAATTTATGTAAAAATAAGTAGAGGTCTGTGTGTAATGGAATAAAGTTGTTTGTAAATAAAGAACTAAATAGACTAACACTTAAGCGATTAATGCCAGATGTCAACATAACCTGCTGACAATTTTCTTTGATGTCACACATTGACATTAATAGAATATAATTACAATCACAAACAGAAAAAATATTTTTCATTTAAATGTTTGTTAAAAATCTACAAGAGGGATTTTCTGTTACTGCATAAGAGTTTTAAAATATCTCTTCTTAAAAAGTGATTTTTATTCATAGAGTTAAATGAACTTATTATCTGTCAGCCATTTCTGCTTCCAGATCTCATAACTGTGATAACTTGGTTAGCCTTCCTACACAAATAAGGTCAGCCCATCTATGAAAATCACTGATAGGTCAGCCATTCCATGAAAATCATTGATAGCTTTTCCATAAAAAACATCAATATGTTAGCCTTTCTATGAAAACCATTGATAGGCTAGCCTTTCTATGAAAATCTTCAGTAGGTGAATCTGTGAAAATCATTGATAGGTTAACCTTTGAAAATCTTTGATAGATTCCAAGAAGCAAAAAAGAAACTACTAAATGAAGTAGCAGCTTAATGAGATCATTTTAGAAAGCAATTTATTTCATATCTTCAAATTTATACAATACCTGCCAAAAGAAGATATGAGTGAAGTGATTGAAACATTTTGAACCTCAGCATAGATTATAATAAATATAAAGTCAAAACAATCATCTGAACCAATGTCTCCTCATTCCAGGAAAAAGTAAAAAGAATATAAAAAATTTTTATATATCTATTCTCTTGATAATATGTAAAGCATTTTTTTTTACTTTGTAAAATTCGAATCAAGAAATATAAATAGTGAAATATATTTTAAACAACTTTATTTTATATTTATTTATTAAATTAAATATTTCATTTAAATATATACAATGGGTGAATATATTTGGTATGCATTAGTTGCTTTGTATGGAGTAGTAAGTGCTGAATTGTTTAATCTTGAAGCACTTATTCAAATCCAAGTACGAGTTTGTCCATTGTACATTCCTTTAATACCTATTTTCTACTTTGATGCCATATATAACTTATATAAGTACTTAAATACATTTTATATTCTTCAAATAAATATATAAAATGTAACCTAAAATATTTGGTAAAAATTTGAACAGATGGATCAATTTGTTCAAATGTCATCTAACCCTTTGACACAGTAGACATTTCACACATCTAACAAAATCTCTCTACCAGGAAATAAAGTGCTACATTTATTTTTTTTTTTTTTGAGGAAGCAAATTCCTGCCATAGGTTCCCCCAAAACTTTGGTTTGGTTTGGTTTGGTTTATTTTTACAGCACATCAACACCTCAATGTATTATTTAATGCCAACGAGATTTTTAGGATATGTTCGTATGAATATGTATGAATTTTTTTCAAAAATGTATTGCTGGTAATTTTATTTTTTACTATGAAAATGTACTGCTGGTAATTTATTTTAATGCATTTTTATATTTTCACTTTTTGACTATAGCTGGGACCCTAATAGGTGCAACCATCCTGAATCAGGGTGGACCTGGGGACAACAACAATTAATAGGTGGTTCCATGATCCTCAAAACCACCCAGTCAGAGAGAGACCTTGCTTCTGGATGTAGTATATCATCATACCCAGGATGCCTAAAACATTGGGTTACACATTATATATTTAAATACACTTTAATTGTACATTAGATCAAGTTGTCATTTAATATATTTATATACTTATTTATGGTATAGTTTTATAAATGCTACCACCTCTGTTTCATAAAAATTGCTATATGTGCATATACATTTCGAATATAAGATGTAACAATTATTATGGGACAGAGGTAATCAAGCTAAAATAAGTGCATTTATACACTCAATTGTTATTTATATATATTTTTAACAATGTTGTGTATACAAGGCAATTAAAATGTGTCACGGTGAGATTCAAGAGACAAGATAACAACATTAAATATGTGTTATGAATAATCAAAAGTGATCTCCCCTTGTTTTGTTACTCTCCTCTTTGAGAGAGCCATTTCTGTTTATTGGAACTATAAAAGGACACTATATACGAACCTTGTATTCTCAGTTGAATAAAGCTTTATTAAAGCCTACACTTGTGTACTTTTGTCATTAAATATATGTATTTGTTATTCACAAATTCTTTATGAATATATATGTACCCAATAACTGTCATTACAAACATATCTGGGAGAAAACATAACTAATCACATGCAAACACATCTTCAGGAACACATTTATATCCATACACATTTTTATCAACATATATATTTAATCAAATCCAAGATCCAACCATATTATACAAGCAAATATATACATATGTATAAATACAAAAGGAAAACTTACCTTAGATGATACATTTTGTCCTCTGATGGATTTTATCAAAGCAAATATTTGCCTTGATAATGTCCATCAGAGAATGAAATGTATCAGCTAAGTTTCCCTTTTGTATTTATTCATATTTTCCTTTTACATAGATATTTCTGGATATATCTGAAATTATATAAGTATTGAAAAAGTTATTATAGATACAATTTAATGTATTCTTTACAGTGCACACAATCAAGGATATAAGCAGATTTAATAAAAATATACTTAAAAAAAAATTACTGTTTCTACAAATTTTCAGTCATAAATGTCAGCTTCCCAATAAACCAAAGCTTGAAAGTCTGTAGAACCAAGATTTGATAAATTTTAAAAGTGTTTTTAATAACACTGGTCTATTTTAAATTTTATATATAAAAAATATATTATTTAAAATGTTTTATATTTATAGGTTAAGAGTGCTCAATATCAGAGATAGAACTTAGTCTGAAGATCACATTGAAGCATGAAACTGACAGTCACCTTGCAGTATTGATTTGTATGTTCACACTGTGTGTATATATATATATATATATATATATATATATATATATATATATATATATATATATATATATATATATAGGTTTTTGTAAAAAATATATATGCTCTGTTATAATAATACATCAAGCTCTCTGTAGATCAGTTTTAATAATTAATATTACTAGGATCCACCCAGATTATATACCAATGGATCAATTACCTGTACTATATATACATATACACACACACACACACACACACGTGTGTGTGTGTGTGTGTGTGTGTGTGTGTGTGTGTGTAGATAGATAGATAGATATGGTTGGAAATGCTTAAGATATGCCAAAATACATACATTCTGCTATATCATACATCAACATTTATAAACATTATTATACAATGACACATTTTCTTTACATATTGCTTATTATTTCATTAGGATTTGTTATCGCCTTTCAGACAAATATAAATTCTCATTTAAATAACAAATTACTCTCTATTCCTTCCAAGCCTAAAATAAATGTCTGAAAATTTTTTTGAAAAATAAAATACATGCAAATAATCAATTTCTCAAATGTTCTGAAAATGAAGTTGTTAAACAGAAAATCAAATTAAGAAACTCAACCCCACTGTCTTGTTAGTTAATCAAACACCAAATTACATGCAAATATACATTTAATACTAACTTGCATCCATTACTTTAAACATGCTTTCATATCCATAGGAAGAAATGTTACCAGTATTGGTAAGACTGTCACCTTGAACTTTCTTTAAAATTATAACCCCAATCAATTCAAATATTCAATTTTAAATGAAATGCAAACATTAAATCAATCCTAATTAGTTACCTAATGAAGGCAAAATATCTGACTAGTTAAAATATGTGATCACAAACCCAAAGTAATGAAGAAGATTAAAATTTAAAAAAAAAAAACATACAAAGTAATAAACACTTGTGAAAAGATAAATACATGCACACAGAACTAGAATAGATACATGAAAAATCAACTGCATCTTAATCAGGGAATATCAAATTTACATAAAAGTATATTATCATAATTACATACATACATACATACATATATATAATGATGTCAAAACATACACATAAAATATGATAAATTTTTAATCCTTTTTTTCATAATTTTTTTTTGACAGTAATATCTTTTGCAAATTTTTGGTTTCGTCTGATATAAAAAATGTAAAAGCTTCATATTCTAGAAAACTTTTTTATAACTTTTAGTAGCACTAATAGTCGTTTTTCAACAAAAAGAAAACAAAGGCATAAAACCTCAAAGAATCAAAATCAAGAAACCGATTTAAAAATTCGCTACCTAACCGTTTTTCTTTTTTTTATTCTGAGGGAATTTCTACTAATCTACAAGAATAAAGATGCTATTAATTTCTTGATTTTTTGTCATTTTTCAATATGAACAATTAGAGCTTTCTTTGTTTTCAATACACTCAGAAAGTTTGTAAAGCATTAATAATACTAGAATAGAAGAAACCTTTATATCCCTACAAAAAAATGAACTTTGTTATAATTTTATTGTTCCATATGTATATGCATTAACTGTAAACAATGAAGTTGTCTAAAGTAGGACTGAAACTACAGACAAAAAAAAAAATTGATGGATTCAAGTCACTGTGATTCAGAATAGAAAAAGAATCACCTAGATAAAATAGACTGAATTTGAATTTTCCTTCAGCAACTTTATTGTAGTGTTTGCTTATAGGTGCAATATATTGTTGAGGTGTGTAATATATTGCTGAAGTAATAATGTTTATTAGTTTGGAATTATTGATTTATTTTGTATTCTTGCCAGCATGTGTTTGTTTCTGATGTAAAACCTTGACAAAACTATAAGTAATCTATAATCATTTATTCAATCAAGTGACCAAAACAAAATACTAAAGCAATTATTTAACTTCTTTATTTGGTGATACTTAAATATTCTGTATAGAGGATTATTATTCTATGTATGAATAGATATATTATTGAAACCAGAAAGCTGTAATGGCAGATATTTCAGTGGTTCTACTTTTGGTTTAAATCATGTCTTCTTTCTTTTGGTTAATTTCTGGAAACAAAGCTCACTAATCCAGCATAAAAGGTAAAGTCTTGGATTTCACCATTTTTAACACTTGAATCAAAATGAAAATGACTCAGTTTGTAGTAAAATAATTTCACTCCACTATTAACGCTGTTATTTTAATGGGTATCTAGAATATGAAGTCAGTTAAAAAAAATTCCAAAAAGAAACAAGTAATATAAATGGAATGTCAAAAATTCGATATTAGATTAATAATAATAATAATAATAATAATAATGATGATGGCAACAGTTGTGTGAATGGAAGGTTCACAGCCATGTTTAAAGAAATGACATAAGGCAACAAGTTGCAAATGGATGGATGGAGTGGTGGACATAGAGTATTGCCTGGAATAATTCAGATTGGTAAGCATCTTAAATAGTTCAGCATGGCTGCCACCATAAATACACACATTTAACATCTTATTTAATCTTGATCAGACTGAGCGATGTCCGTCTTTTAAGGTAGCACCATCAGATTTAGTTACATCAAGTGAATAACGGTTAACGGATGTATTAGGGCTGATGTATCTGTGAAAAAAAGCAAAAAAAGAAGAGAATGAGAGAAATTCAAAAGAAAATAAAAAAATTAATGATTTATGGAAATATAAATTACATTAGTAATTTCATTTTTGGTTTGTTTTTTTTCTATTCTCAAGATATAATTAAATAAAGTAATTTTGGTATACAAAACATAAAAGTATCCTTTCTATAATTTAAAAAAAAATCATTAGCTTTGAGAATTAAAGCATTGGTGCATGAATTTAGTGGCAGAGTAATTGAGTTTAATCCCTGGGCTAGATAGTACAGACTCAGACTCAGTGGAAACAGAACTAACAATAACTGAGCCATATTAATTAAGAACAAGACAATATATCCTTAGATACAGCCGCCAGTGGAATGAGAACAATCTAACCCTGTGTTATATTAAATAATGGATTCAGTTTGAAATTTCCTAAAGGTTACCTGGATCAACAAATCCCTGAAGAAGGCTGGAGGGTAAAATGGCTGATTATGATTGTAACATTAAGCATGAGAGCAATAGTCAGACTGTACATAATGATAACCCTTCATTTCAGAAATTCAGGACATAATTTACAAGAGTTGTTTGGATGATTAAACTTAGTTCTTTATGCTACGTTTATTGCTACTACAATGTTTTGACTGATCTATTCTGTAATCATCCCCAGGTATACAATACACGCCATTTTCTGATTTGCACTTCTATGTGCCATATCCTTTCAGGACATTGGTGATAATGGCTCAACACAATTCCATATCATTAGCAGCTCTTAGTAAATACTGTCTTTTTTCTATCTCTCCAAACACCTACTCCCTGATCAATTCACTAAAGCTCACCAGGTAGGTTGTTTTCCTGCATCCCTTTTCTATCACATTAAGTCCTCTTTCCTCATTATGTGCCTTAGAAATTTCAACTGTTTCTTCCTGATGTTTAGCATAATCCTCCTCTTTGTTTCCATTTTCTCTAAAACTTTGTCATTGTTCACATGTTTGGTCGATGGTATTCTTGCCACATTTCGGTTGCTTCAAGTCTTTTCTTCATCAGTGAGGAGATTGTTCAGCAAACACTGCCATATAGGAGGACTGATATTACATAACAGTTCAGTACTCTTTTTTTTGTTTCCAATGAAATTTTTCTCACTACCCGCCCAGGCCACTTTCCATAGAGATTGTATGCCTGAGAAAGTCAAAAGAATAACAAAAATAAGAGTTCTATAATCTCAACAACACTTGGATTAAAAATATTCCGAAACAAATAAACTAATTCTTTACATAAAAATGACAATCTAAATTAATTGGTGCATATTTGAGACCATTTGAACTGTCAATAAAATAACATTCAAACCTACAATTATAGCTCTATGGTAAAAGCAAAGGACTGTTAGCTAAATAACATGAAGCTATATTTCCAGCAAGAGGATTCAGAAAGAGTTGGATGAGTCTAATGGTGATTACGAAGGTACAGCAGCTTGGATAAATTCACTCTGATAGTTCTGATAAGAAAAGAACTCCCAAATTTGTCAGTGAGGACCTCAAACACAACAAAGAAGCCTACATCAAGTGCCTTGAGGAGGCAGTGCTGCCCTGAGTCAAGCAACTATGTCTGGCAACAGGACACACAATCAGGAGAACCAAAATAAAAATGTCATCCTCTGTGCAGGAGCATTGAGCATCACATCTGGATGCAAAACAAATCCCCTCAGAAAATATAAAATACAATATAAAAGAAGCAAATCATGAACATTGCCACAAAAAAAAAAAAAAAAAAAAAAAAAAAAAGCTGAGTTTATGAGCTGCCATACCTGCTCAGAATAATCAGTACTTAATATAGCTACTATCAGTGTACCTACTTATATATTTAGAAATATTAAGCCATAAGGATGTGTGGATATTGTAACAGTTACCAGTGCAGAAAGTAGAATCAATGTGCTGAATTCTAAAGCCTCGTCTTGTGTTCATTTTCACACTAATGCCCTGGTAAAAGGCTTGGCTCAATTTTCCTCCAGCTAAGGGTTAAATAACAGGGTAGACTGGGCTCTCTAACCTTGGGTTGCTACCAGTCTAAGGGAAGGAAAACTGAATTCAAAACCATAGAGAAAACAACAGAAAATCACTCCAGACTGTTACTTAAAAAGACATGGAAATTCACAGATACTAAATAAAAGGAATCTGTGAAGAGACATGATCGCCTATGTTCTGAACAGATAAGACATTAATGTTATAAACATGCAGATGGTAAGATAAGAGAACAAACAAAACAACACTGGTGAGATGAAAAGAAAAGAAGACAAGAATTGTTAAGATAAAATTCTTTGTATGGCTGATACAGAAGATGTGAGCAGATTGTCTCTTTGTGAGCAAGGGAAGCAACTCAGAGGAAGGATAGAGTTGGTAAGGGGCTGGAGTTGATGTGTGTATTGGGTCAGTTGACCAAGGTCGCAGTGGTGACACTAAGAGAGGTCAGTGGTGGATTAATTGAAGCTTTCCCATTTGGAGTTAATTCTTAAAAGCAGGTGTGGCGGCTCATAAACTCAGCTTTTCTTTGGTGGCAATGTTCATGATTTGCTTCTTTTATATTGTATTTTATATTTTTTGAGGGGATTTGTTTTGTGGGCCAGATGTGATGCTCGAAGCTCCTACACAGAGGATGACTTTTTTTTTTTGTTTTGCTTTCTTACCATTCACATCTGGCCAACATGTAGAGTAAATCAGAAAGAAATCTAATTTGAAGCAGAGTATAACATTAAGAAAAAAAAGCCACAATCAGTACTTAATATAGCTAATGTTAGTGTGAACTACAGCCTCAATTTGATGTTGGATGGAGGAATACTAATTAAAACTTCTTTTATCAATGATTTGCTATTCTTTTAAACAGTAAATCCAAAACATATAAGTTCTATAGCTTTTTCCACACAGGTTCAATTATGTTACAGTCAGGACTTTTGGCAAGGCATTTTTTGTAACATTGCTCTGCTTTTCATCAACTAGAGACTTTTTTTTCATATGTAGTGTATGGCTATTGGAATATTTCACCTTCTCCTGTACCTGGTAACAGGTGGGACCTTAGCAATATAATGCATTTTCCAATCTTCTGTATGTCATTGATTTCTTATACCATTGTTTTTGATATATCCTTAAACCATTAGTCTCACACCGCCAATTTTACCATCTTCATATATCTTGAACTGTCTCTTGTAGTAACAGGTCATTGGAAATGACCTTGTGCATTAGAATGTTATTCAACTTTGCTTTCATCACTAAATATCACTATAAAAGAAGAATCTGCAATATTATCAGTCCTGACCTGGCATCTTGGCTTTAGTCACTTTCCCACTACTGTAACATAGCTTCCCTGTGCTTTTTCTCTAATTATTTTCATGTTAATTATTCTGATGAGCTTTCTTCTTTGCTACCTCAACTTTATGAATTTAAATGCAGTACTAGATTAGTAGCTAGGTCCCAACATATTACTTTTGAAATTGCTAAATAGAACTGTAAGTTCTATACTGACAGTTTCTTCTCTCACACTTAACATTTGTGGAACTCTCTTCCAACTTCTTGTTTCCAGTCAACTTTGATTTTGAAAAATTTAAATGCTGTCATTTTTTTTCACCCTCAGTAACCTCTTTATTGCTTTATTTGGGATGAAATGATTAAAAACAAATTTCATTATGCCATGTAGGTATATCAATAAATTTGCAGCTTAATGAGGAAAAAATAATTTCTTATACAACAAACATTTGGTAACCTCATCTTCTTTGTCAATGCACTTAATTCAGAAACAATTATTAATCACACAGTATATTATAGAAAATATTTCAGATCAAAATTGATTCTGCTAATATCTACAATGAGCTACAGACTCACTATTATATGTATCAAGCAAACTATAAGATGTTTTAAATCTGCAAGCAAAATTTAATGGAAAAGAACCGAGCATTTTATGAGATTTTCATGTTACAGATATAGAAACTTGAATTTCACAGATATCAGGTATAAAATGTATTTCAAGGAAAAGGTTAAAGAGGTTCTGATTCATATAAAACAAATTATAATATCAGATCAAAATTACAGTTAAATGAAATAAAAAAAATAAAGAATAAAAGTACTCACCGACTAGCAGGACTGACAGATCTTGCATATGGACTGGAATAGTCACCAGTAATAGGAGGAGTGATACCACGTCGGCGAAGCTCTTGGACAGCACGCTCTCTGAAATTTAAAACAAAGTCATTTTTTTTAATTGATTTCACCTCAAGTAGGGCACTAAAGCCACTAAGATACAAGGGGGTTACTGGGTGCAGAATTAGGAGCAGAAACATTAATGAGCAGACAGAGAAAAGAATAATCAAGAGGACAGTACATAGCAATTGACATTGTATTTAAATTTTTGCAGATTAAAGTTGGCTGGAAAGCATGGTGCCAGAAGGGAGTTCCATAAGAAGTGCAAGAAAAGAAAGTGTTATCATAGAATTTATGGCTACATCTAACCAGCTCAACTGTAAATTGATGAAATCTTGACATCAGTCTAGTTCATTGCTTGAATTCAAAATGTCTAGGTAACATAGTGAAGAGCTCCACTGAACAATTACCATGAAAGTATTTACAGAAAAGACACAGAGAGGCAATCATACAGTAGTGGGAAAGTGATTGAAGCCGAGCCGCCAGATCAAGACTGATAATATTGCTGATTCATCATTGGATTTTAGCAAGGAGCTCAAGGTAAATAGAAGGGGCACCAGAAAAGATGAATATTCTAAGCATGGAAGAATGGTAGACTTATAGATTTGCAAGATAAATTTTGGAGAGGTAAATTGTCTTGTATGACACAGTGAACTGACTTTCTTACCAGCTGACTTAACAAAGGATTCTTTCCACTTCATGTCAGGTGAGAACATTAGACTGAGAAGGTGCAACAAGTCACTTTCTTGGAGGTTAGTATCAGCCATGCTGATGGAAGGAAGAGAAGAGTCTCTCAGATGATTAATGAAGAGAAGTTTAGTTAAATATTACTCTATTCTGCTTTTACTGTTGTTTCTATAATCAATGCTTTTTTCTTTGTATTATGGTAGAAACTGCAAAATAAATAATCACTAATACATAATAAATTCTGTACACATCATAGAGTATTTAAAAGAATAATGTTTATCAAGTACAAAAGTTCAGACCACACTCTTATTATACCATTATCTTTTGGGTCTATAAAAATAATTCACAGTTCCTAGTAGAACTCTCAATAAAATAACATTTCAAACTTACAAGTATAGCTCGATAGTAAAAGGAAAGGATCATCAACTAAGTAGCATGGGGTTATATTTTCAGTACTGAGTTAATCAAATACACTTAGGAATGGTATGAATCCATCTCTTCTCCCCACACAGCTATGGGTTAAATAGCAAGACAGACTGAGTTCTCTAGCTATGTTTGGCAACCAGTCTAAAAGAAGGACAACTTTGAATTCAAAACTGGTTGTGGATGAGCAACTCTACCTTGTGAAAATCTACTTGCTATGGAAACCACAGTATAACATCTATACCAACCCCCATAGGGTGCATGACATACACTTTAGATAGCTAACATCCATGAGATAAGCTATATTCATTAATGAGAAAATATTTATGAAGGTGAGTAATAAAGGATGGAAGGAAAAGTTAAAAAGTTTGAATTAAAAACACGAATTGTGGATTATCCCACTTGGCTTTGCCAAAAATGCTACTAGGGGGTGCTCTTTAAGCCTATAAATAAGCAATGATATTCTCACTCACCCTCACTCTTTTTGGTCTTTTCAACTCTTGCTTTCAGATGATGTCACATGTGGGTAAAGTGTCCCCTACTGGGACATGTACATTTTCATGGTTTTCTTTCTCTTGACTTTTGTACACACTATACATGCAGCATATACACACACATCTTTCACTCATGCTTGTTACACACAGAAACATGCACATCCTTATCATAACTTCTGTTTTTTCCTTTCATAAAAAATGGTTCTTTTTTTTTGTCACTTGCAATAAAGTTATAAAATTTGGTGTTGAAAATATGGTTCAGAGAAACTGAACCCCAATCGAATTTGATAAAATTGGAAATTACATACATGAAAATTAAGTCAGGAAATAAAGGGTTTAAGGGTTTTGAGAAATGGAATGCAGCAAATTCACTTGTTTATTCAAGATATTATTTTCCAGAAACTTGCTATTTCTTACCAAACTTTACCAAAAGCTGGAGTAATATGAAAGCCTCGGTATCCTGGATTGATGAAAATACGATGTGGATGACTGATGAATTATTGAATTATCAAAATCTGTCAAAATCAAGCTGATTATTGAATTGGATATTTAAGTGGAGCAAAAAATGCCCTGGAGAGAGTTGTTCATGGTTATTAGGGGAAATTATACAGAAATTTTTGCTATTCAAAAGTGTGGGTGTGCTTTGTCGCAAAGTCTTTAATGTGTAAAACAAAGAAAAGGGAAAATCAAGTTCCTGCCTCTCAGATGAAATCCTGCAACTAGAGACAAAGACAAGAAATGAAGAACTAAAAATTTTACAGTGAAAAGTGTATATTACTGCTACTAAAATCAAATACACTATCACAGAGATTCCCTCACAGTTTCTGAGAAATGTAAATAGAAATATAGAGAAAGAGATGTTCTTTGTTCATTGTCATTAAAATAAACTGCGAAGAACACATTGATATTGGTTTATATTTTATGACAAAAGTATTCAAAATCTAATTGTAATTTTCTTGTATAAATTAATCCATTTAATGAATGATGTATTTAATTATTTAGTAAAATTATGAAAAGAGAATAAATATTTCATGGAAGGAATCCAAAATTTTACATTGTACACATGGTAAAAAGGAAGAAAATGATTAATTCCTTCAATGTCAGAAAGTAAAAGAACAAAAGCCAACAAAACTTTAGTTTAGCTGAGTCAAATTTGATAGGAATCTCATGTTAAGAAATGTGTAAGTCCAGATATGATGTCAATATGTTTGGAATCAGAGTTCAAATCAGATTCATTCTTTCCATTTTTTTTATGTCCTATCCATTAGGTTAATTCTCAATCACTTATAAGTTAGCCATCTGATTATTTTAAACTCATTTGCAGATAGAGAGATGTTGGCACTATCACGTTGTCACAATTTCAGTATCACTTGATTATTCTTTATAATAATTAATACATAATTCTGTCAAACATCTGAATACTTAGAAAGTACCACTTCCATCAAAATCAACCCCTATTGAACTTTGTATATACAGATGTGGGATATGAAATTAATTTGGCACAACATTACAGTTATTGAGCACCTAATGAATTCACTAGCAAAAGTACATAGGTTGCTATCACTTTATGAGAAGCATCGTAAAGTGAGAAAAAAGGAAATGAGGTTTATATTATAATGATTCAAATTGTGTATGCTTGAGTATTTACTATATCTTTTTTTAAATGCTATGTCCCTTCAGAATGAGGCAAACATGGCATTCACAGATTTCTTTTCTTTATTATATGTGTATTACCATGACTTCTTAGGAAAAGTAATGGAGTGGTTTCCCATTGCATTCTCCATGGTTTTGAATTCAGAGTGGTCCTTCTAGATTGGCTACTACCCAAGGTTTGAGAATCCAGTCTGCTCTGCTATTTAACTCTTATCTGGAAGGCAAAAAAATTGAATTCATACTTTTCCGTTTCTGATTTCAGATTTATTAACTGTCAGTGACAGAGCTGTTTTCCTGAATGTTCTTCATATGAAAATAGAGGAAAAAGCAAGAAATATTCTCTGACCTGTCTGCACTCTCTCTATCAGCCATAGTGGTATACCAGTTACAATACTTCAATAATAAGGCTTAGTGATAATTAGCACTTGTGAATAATTATAAAATAAATTCCATAAATAAGTGGTGATTTGACATTAAGCAGGGGTCACATAGCAATTGTCACATAAAAAATCCCTTTTAATCCAGGTCTGATCTTCAACATGAAATATCAGTAAATTAGCAAATAGTTTAAGGGGTTTGCTAATTCAAAATGAAACAAATATAAAAATATCAATAGGAAAACACAGAGACTGAAGAACAAGGGAATGTCTTGTTAAGTTGGACTATTCTTACCTTTCAAACTTTTCACTTGTAAGTTGTCGACGAACTCTCTCAAGATCTCCTTCAAGTTCTACATTCCTGGTTCGAAGAGAAGCAATGTCACGGCTTTGGCTTTGGCTAGAACACAGAAACTTAATTATTAGCTGAGTTGTAAAAAGTAAAATAACAAAATTGATATTTCTTTTCAGATAAATTAAGGAAAATAAAATGCAACGCAGTAACATTGCTTCTTCAAACAAAATTATGACATGATGTCATCAAGTAAATAAGATAAATATTTAGAAATAATTCTGTTTGTCCTGCTCTTATCATGACCATTATGCCATGCTAATACCTCATAAATAATGGACCATTCCATTTCGATCACGAGAAAAGACATATCAAAGACACTACTTGGTTTCAGTGAGAAAATGAAAGAAAGGAAGAAGGGAAGATAGAATGTTTAACATCTCCTGCCAATACTTCATAAATAATAAACTATTCCATTTTGATCACATGATTATTAAATTGAAAAAACTTTGATCCTTTGTTCAACTTCACAGTTTCACTTTATACAAAATACTAAATAAAGAACTGAATCATAAAACACTAAAGATGTTTGGAATTGTCATTTTGGTTGTCTTCTCACCAAGATGATTGTCACAACTTGGTAAGGGGTCTGTAATAACAATGACAACACAGTTTAGTCTAGTGACTTTTGTCTGCAGAAGCGATACTCCTGCTTTTTATTCACACATAAACAATATGGCTGACACGGTACTTCTGTGTCTGAACAATAGTTGAAACACTGCTTCTGTTTCTTTAGTTCCCAGTTAAATAATGATAATCACCAGCCTCATGAAAAAGTTGTATTTTAAGACACTTAAATTGTTACATTTCTATAGAAATATAGTTATGCCACTAGAAAAGCTAGCAGATAAAACAACTGCAATAGTCATTTTTAATTATTTGTTTGGTTCAGCAGTTCATCTGTACTTACAGTTTGCTTTCATTAAGGGTGAGCCTATCTTTTAACTGCTTCAGTTCTGCCGTTCTCTCTTGAGCTTCCAGCTGAGAATGGAATTCTTTCTCACGATTGTTTTGCAGTAAATCTTCAAGATTCTTCACACTAGCACGTTCTGAAGTCAACTGACTTCTTATGGTGTCTGTCTCTTGTTTCATGTCATCAATTTGAGCCAGAAGCTGTAGGTAAATACAGTAGCAGTTAGAGAATAGAAGGTTACAAAGTGGTAATAAAAAGCATAAAGAGCCTGAGGCAAAACTCTGTGTGCGTGTGTGTGTATAGATGCTGTTTAAAAGTTCAAAGAACTTAAGGCACAAACTGGCTTTATGAAGGTATGAAAACCGTGAGAGAAAGTTTTTTATTTCTTGGTGGACTGATCTTAGAAGATGTATAAAATGTCTGGCATGACATAAAAAATGTTGCATAAGTTGACAGATGAATGCAAATTGTTCAAACTTTTGGATAACATTTCATATTGATGTACGTAAATGTTTCTTTAGTGAGAATTTGGAATAAATATAATCAATATTTTAAAAGATTCATTTTTAAAAATAAATCTAAATAAAAATACATTTAAAAGTAAACACTTTGAAATGCACTGAATATTGATGCCACATCTAGTCTGGTGTTCCAACTATACATTTAGAGATTGCACTTCATTTGTGGAATAAAATTGATTTGCGGCAATGTAAAATTATTTGTTTGATCAGGTGTACAACAAGGTTCATTTCATGGTGCTGAGGTGTCAGAGTTAATAGGCCTACATATTTTATATGAAATTAACATAATTGAACATATAAACAACCACAGACTGTATAGGGATGACAGTCTAATGATAGCGCCAGACAGCAGAAAAACAAATGACAATATAAAAAAAGCCTCAGCTTTGAAATAGAAGTTGAAATGAATAAAAATCAACTATCTGAATGTAGAATTAAATCTTCAAGCTGGCAGACTCTCTGCATACATGAAACCCAATACAAAATTAAAATATGTGAATATTAGATCTAACCACCCTGTGAGCATAATAAAGCACACCCCTAAAGGAATAGAATCTAGGTTATTCAGAAACTCTTCTAGTAAAATAATTTTTGAGGATAAAAAGAAAGAATATGAGAACTTAAAGGTAGAGGGTCACAAAACCAAACTAGAATTTAAACCTCAAATTAAACAACATATGAAGAACAATTCAAGGAAAAGAAAAAAAATATCATTTGGTTTAACCCCCACCCTTTTTAACTTAGAGGTAAAATGTAAAATAGGAAATTATTTTTCAAGTTACTTACTAAACAGTTCCCAAAAAATTCAGAATTACATAAGATATTCAATAAAAACACAGTTAAATTAAGCTATAGCTGCACTAGTAATTTAGAAACAATAATAAATAGACAAAAAGCCAGAAATTACAAAACTGACATGCAGCAAAATATAGTTAACACTAGTAATTGAAACAACTGTAGAAATAAAAATAGACATCCATTAAATGGAGCTTGTAAAACTGAAGCAATAATTTATAAAGCAGAAGTAACAGATATTAATGGCCAGAATAAAACATACACAAGATGTACTGAAGGTAATTTCAAATGTAAATGGTACAATCATAGGTTGTCATTCAAGTTAGTAAGTCTTAGGTGCTCTAACAAACTAGCTAACCATGTGTGGAATTTAAAAGGAAAAAACAGCAAGGCCCGATTGTAGGCTGGAAATTTTTTTAAAAGTCAAAGCCTTATAACAACTGCAATAAGATTTGCAACCTCTGCCAATAGGAAAAATTGGCAATAATGACATTACCGGATCCAAAGAACCTTTTGAATCATGAGTCCTTGCATACATACTAAAAAATCCCTCTTAAGCACATATGAGGCTAGATAAAAAATGTACATTTTAATTAACCCCCAACCGATACATTTATAATATCCTTGCTTTTCTTCTATTTCCACCTTCTTCTTCTCCTTCGTACCTTCCTCCTCCCTTTTTATCACACACAATGTCATGCATTTGTTTATTTTTTGAAAAATAATATAGTGTTCGTTAGTTTTTTTAAAAATAAAACATTGGGAGGTCAATTGATAAAAACTGCTTGAGAATACCATAAGGTTGCAACCAAGGTAGTGCATTCAGCTAATCTTCTAATTTTTAAAGTTTAAAGCTTTACATGTTATTTTTTTTTCACACGTGGATTGAGCACTTTTTAATACTACTGTTTTTTTGATTCAACTCTGACCATTAACCTTTTATATATATATATACACACACACACACATACACATTAAAAATCAGGAGTTTAGTTGAATCTGCTTACCTTGGTTTCAACCTTATGGTGATTTTTATTAAATGACCTATATATATATATATATATATATATATATATATATATAACAGTTCATTTAAAAATATCAGGCAAAATTATCCATGCTAATTTTAAAATGCTAATTAGAGAAAGTAAACAATTTTACTATATAAGAAATCAAGTGTACTTTCATATTTTTAGTCTGTAATGTCTTTTTGGTTATGACCATGGTAAACTGCTCAAATGAATAACACAAAAATACATTCATCTCTGTGAAATTTGGAAAATACAAAAAAAAGGCGGGCAGGGAATGTATGGTTACACAAAGTTTACTATAATAACTGTAAGAAATATTTAAAAACTCAAATGTGAATATCTTCTAATAATATCTATTATCAAGATATCCCATCATTTTTTTTAAGGCATGAACCAACTAGCATATCATAATTATCTTGTGTCACTCATAACATTTACCTGTTCTTTCTCAACAGAAATAGCATTCAATTGTCTTTGCAATGATTCTTTAGATGCTTCCAGTCTGCAGCAAAGATCACGAACAGCACTAATGTCTTGTGACAGGGTCTTCTTTTCATCTTCACACTGTTGCAAATTCTCTTCCAAATTGGACAATGTACGAGTCAGATTGGACACTTGAATCTCATAGGCTTGCTGCGCACCCAGATGCTAGAAATGAGATAAAGGGAAAATACATTCAGTTTTTTGATACGTGAATAGTTTTCAGTAATAAAAATTTTGTTCTTCAAATCATTACTATTTTGATTGTTTACTTTCAAAAATTTATTACAATTTTATAATAATATCTATCAGAAAGATGTCAATCAGGCAAAATACTTTTGTAATTAGATATATACCGTTTACCTCCATAAGATAAATCAATCTGAATTTCTGGGATGAGGAGTTATTGTCTTCATCTTTGTTGTTACTATTATTATAATGCATATTCACAAAGCATCATTTTAATCCCCTAGACTAGCCTAGGTAATTAAAGCACTTGTTTCTGAATTTGGTGACATATTAATTCAATCTCTGAACAGGGTAGTACAGACTCAGTGGAAACTGGGCTAGCAATAACTGAGCAGTACTAAAAGAGAATAACATGGCATGAAGAGCAGAATGAGAACAAGCTATTCTGTAGATTAATAAACAAATAAGTTCAAAGTTCTCTGAAGGTTACCCAGATCGACAGACACCTGAATAAGGTCAAAGGATACAATAGCTGAAATGTAATAATAACAATAAAGATGAAAATATTAGTAAATAATAACTCCTTATCCGAGAAATTCAAACAGAAATTAAAGTGAAATTATTGTACTCACTTCCTGAAGTTCATGGTCCATTCTCTCAGTTTTTTCTTTCAGCATTCTAATTTCAGACTCCCTAGTCAGAATCTCTAGACGAAGATTAGATCCTTCACTCTCCAGTTGATGGTTGGTGTTCTGATAGTGTTCTGCTTCTGCAGACAGTGTGCGATACTGATCTAATAAGTCTGAACGCTCTTGTTCCTGGAAAACAGAAAATATATTGATATATATCTTTAAAAAAAAAGAAAAAAAGTGACTCAACAAAGTCTATTTGTAGATAATTGGTAAGTATATTTTAGCAACACAATTTTATGAGGAATTTAATAATAAAAGAAGTGGACATATGGCTGAGAATATACTTCATAGGGAACAGCCATTCTCATTTTCTCTGTTAGTGCAATGGAGGGATACAGATGGGAAGACAATGATTTGGCATAAATGTGCCAGATAAGTATTAAAAAAGGTTGGTAAGCAAAAAAGAAATAGTGGCTAATATACTACTTCATTCCCAGTATTGTGAGCTGCACAGATGAGGTCAACCCATGTAACACAATCCATATTTAGACACTAATTAGTTACTAATTTCTTTCTGGTTGAGTAAAGAAAACAACAAAAGCAAAGAGAATACTGGAGAGTATTTCTCTGTATGAATATGGAATCACTTCTTTTACAAGGGTTACCGAGAATGATGCCATCTGCATGGCTCAAGTAGCCGGGAATGGGCTCATTTCCAGCATCCTCTGGCTTTCTTCAGATGTATGTTACATCATAAAACAAACTAAAATTTTTAAAAGCCTTTAATCACCTTTTCATTTCAAACAATTCGTTGATCAGACTAATGGAAACTGACTCACCTTTGAAGCTAATAAGTCTTCAACACGTTGAACTTCTAAAATGTAGCTCTGGACTTGGTTTTTTAGTATTTCTTTCTCTTCTAAGGTTTCCTGCAGGTCATGGTTCAAATTCTGTATTGATGAATAATATTTAAACAAAATTAACAAGCAAACTGGCTGAGGACAATAAGGTGTTTGATAAGTTTTATTTAAGTTCATTTTCCTGACTGTTGTGGAGTAAATAAGACACCACCAGTAACACAAATGAACTAGGCAAGACATTAAATCAGGGATGTCCAAAATTTTTTTCAAAGATGACCAGATTTGATGAGGTGAATATGTGTGTTAGCCAACCATTCTGCTTTGCATTCTTCGAACAATGAAAATTAAATGCAAATGAATTATCTTATGAAAATTTTATTACCAATTGCATATTTTCATTTCTTCACATGAATGACAAATAAATGTAAACAGGTCTTACCAAAATCATTCAGCATGTCATATCTGAAGCCCATATAAGATGAAGTAAAATATGTCTGAGAAAAAAGAACTTCCAGGAAGCTATACCTCAGGTTAACTGGTAATACTTATATATATATATATATATATATATATATATATTTCATTGAAAACAGCCAACAAAGATTAAATCAATCTTTTTTTGAGCTTTTTCAGTAATCTAACATTTTTCCATTTTTAAGGGGTTATATATAGGATATAGAAATTATCCATAGTTATAATTGTTCCAAGCCATTATCAAGGACGTGTTTTGAATGGCGAAATTCTGTGTGTGGCTGCTACACAGTAATTTTAATGTGGAGTGCAAGCTTCTTTTGTGCTATATATATATATATATATATATATATATATATTTTGAACAATAAAAAAAATATTAAAAAATTAAAATCTTCAGACACACTGGGTTGTAGATTAATAGTCTTTCGTTTTTTATTATTATTATTATTTCATTTAGATTCCTTGCTATATATCGATGATATATTCTTTGTATACACGGGTAGTGATGACAAACTTACCCAATTCCTTATGACCCTAAACACAGTGCATGACTCAATTAAGTTTGACTATGAAAAATCCACAACATTAGTAACATTTTTAGACACCCGCATTTACATAGATGAAAACAGGTAACTACAAATGACACTACACACTAAAATCACCAACACACACAACTATCTACACTTTAAGTCTTCCCACCCTAAACACCTCAAAGAGAACCTTCCCTATTCACAAGCACTTAGACTCAGAAGGATATGTTCCAACAATGAAGAATTAAATAAACACATTGAAAATCTGGAGCATCAATTCACAACACATGGCTATAAACAACACTTAATCAGGGAACAAATAAATAAAGCAATTTCCACACCTAGAGAAGACACCCTAATGTACAAGATTAAAAATAAATCTAGCCGCATTCCTCTAGTAACCACTTTCAACCCCACTCTGCCTCCACTATCCCAAATAATCAAACATCGCTGGGAAATACTACTTCTCAAACCAGACCGAAAAAAATTGTTTAAGGAACCCGGCCTTCTTGCATATCGTAAACCTAAGAACCTAAAAGAAATCATAGGTAGTAACCACATTTCAGGGGACAAGGTAATCCGTAATAAACTAAGAACAAAAGCAACAGGATTTTCCCAACCATGTAACAACAAAAGAAGTTTATGCTGCAACCATATTAAACACACAAATTCATTTACTAGCTCAATCACTATATCTACTTTCAAAATCTACCATGATTCTAACTGTAGAAGTCATAACATAATTTACCTCCTAGAATGCACACTATGCCAGAAACAATATGTAGGAAAATCTGAATGGCCCTTTCACTACAGAATTAATAATTATCGCAATTGAATTAAGTTGACTCCCCATAAAAAATTATTACCTGTAGAACAACATTTCCACCTGGAAAAACACGATTTCAAAACCCATGCCAAATTCACTATAATTGAGAGAATAGAAAAGTTCAGAGCAGATAACATTAGAAAGATTTTAGAGTCCCATGAAAATAAGTGGATACAATGTCTAAAAGCACAATATCCAGCCAGGCTAAACCATAAATTTAACAATATAGATAATACTAATATATAACTCAACAAATCAAAACCTACCCACATTTGTCACCCACACAAGACAGACATGCTTACGGAGGTGTTGAGGCCTCACACTTATACACACACCCACACAAATATACACACATCATACTCACTCACTCCCTAATGAGCCAAATGATAACACACACCCACAGCAATACACATGCTTACACATATCATACTCACTCACTCCCTAAGAACCAAATAACAGACACACAAACACAAAACAGAGACACATCCCCTCTCCAGGACCAATAAAACTGTCAAAATGACCAGGGGAATTTAGAGAAGCATAGATCCATCCAGCTCTTATCTCAAATAACAACTTAAAAGAGACTGTTTGACCAACACAAGGAATGTTAAAAGATTCATGTTAAAAAGATAAAAAAATAAAAACCAAATGAAAACTACAGACAAAAGTTCATTTTCTTCATCAAGACATTAATTTCTGTAGTTTACTGCTACCAGCAAGCAGAAATATTTCTTCTCCCAATGATGGCCATTTTGGACGAAACTAGTCAAGGAATCTAAATGAAATAATAATAAAAAAACAAAAACAAAAGAATATTAATCTACAACTCAATGTGTCTGAAGATTTTAATTTTTTAATATTTTTTTATTGTTCAAAAAAAAAAAAAAAAATATATATATATATATATATATATATATATATATATATATATAGGATATTAAAACAAAAACATGTTAAAAATCACTACATAATTACAATCATGCTTCAACACTACAAATGTGTCTCTTCAGGTGATGTTAAACTACTGAGTGAACGATTAATTTAATTTCAAAAGCAGAATACTTACTCCATTTTCAAGAAAAAAAACAAAATAAAAATAGGCTTGTGGGCTTTGCTGTGACTAATCAATCAGATGTGACCTACGCTAAATTCAAACACATCTAAAAAAAAAAAATTTTTTTATTATAGGCCATGATACAAAGTTGTCTGCATATAAATCCTAGACATTTTCCTTATGGATAGATACAAATGGTTACATTATTACATAAGTTGTGTATAAGTCTGACATTCAACTTTCCTAATAAGTAAAAGCAAAGAGGTAGGGAGGTAATTTAACACAATGATAACCAGTTACATGCACATTCAGCTTCTTATATAAAATTTTTGTAGTTAATAAAAGGCCCCTTTAAGAAACTGGTAAATAACTGGTAATACAGAACTACTTTGGCAAATTAATATGCAATTGTTAAATAAAGAGCGTTCATATAAGATGTTAATAATACCAACTAATCAATGTAAGATGTTAATAATAATAACTAAACACCTGTACATTCATATAATATATATATATATATATATATATATATAATGACAATAAACATTATTTGTAGTGAGCACATGTGTTCAAGTTGACATCACTGCTCTTTTAATTGATGCCACCAGCCCAGAAATCAAGAAGTCCTTACTAACAAAAAATATGCCTCATGGCAGGAATTGAACCTGCATTTCCTTTTGCCATCTGGGAAACTACTCCTTTAGCTGAAGTATACATTACGTATTAGGCCATGGGAAACCATGGTAAAGCAAAGCTCAATAACCTACTTAAGGAATGTATATTTCTCACTGGCACTTTTCAAAGTCTATATCTGCTAGCTTTATTTTCATTCTCAAAATGTAAACATGGTAATTTTTCAATAGATTTTGTTTTTAATTTGAAATTATTTCTTATTAATATAAACATTATTATTAGTGACACAACTATTTACTCCTTTTTTAATGATAAGTTTGATAATGGAAAATTGGTAGTTGATCTCAAAAATGACATACAGCCTGTTGTTAACTGGAGCAAGCAATGGCTTGTTAATTTTAACACCACCAAAACAAAACTGCTCACTTTTAGTCATCTGAGAGAAACTTTTTGCCTTCCGTCAGCATGGCTGATGCTAACCACTGCTGACATGAATTAGAAAGATTATATTGAATTAATTGCTAGGTCTGCTGCTAGGAAGGTTTGTTCACTGTGTCATACTAGACAATTTTTCTCTCCAAAATCTATCTTACACATTCATAAGTTTACCATTCAGCTGTGCATTGAATATTGATTTCACATCTGGTCAGGTGTTTCTAAAATGTATTTAGAGAATCTTGGTAAAAGAAGAATCTGCAATGTTATCAGTCCTAACCTGGCATCTTGGCTTCAGTCACTTTACCACCTTAGTATCATTTTTTTTATCAGCTTCCCTGTTCCTTTTCCATAAATATTTTCATGATAACTGTTCTGATGAGCTTTCCTCTTTGATACCTCAACTTTATGATTTTAAGTGCAATACTAGATTGACAGCTAGATCTCATCATTTTACAGTTGAAATTGCTAGATGTAGCCATAAGTTCCATGTTTCTTGCACTTCTCTCTTCCAGCCTCTTGCTGTCCAGTCAACTTAAAAAAATTAAATGCAATGTCAACTGTCATCTTGTCTTCTTATTTCCTGTTCTTCTATTGTTCTCTCCTGGCTTTTCTGATGGACACAGAGTGCAAAGTCTCTTTTGGCATCATCTGAGGTGAGTCACATAATACATTATTAATAGGCTTTCTGTATCAATGAAGAACAAACGTATACACACAAAAATCAGATTTAGTACAGAAATAATTGTTTACAAACTGCAAATATTACCTGATTCTCACTTGTCATGACTGTTAAGTCCTCCTGTAAATGTTTATTCTCACGTACAGCCAATTCTTTTGCACGACTTGCTTCAGTCAGGTCCTCTGAAGCTGTCTCCAGTTGACGTTTAATACTTTTAATTTCTCGTTCTTTCAAGGTAAGGTTACTGTTGACATGGCTAAATGAAAAATTTGAAGACTTTAAAATTTACACATAAGAATTGGAGGAAAGTCAAGACACTTGTCATAATCACTCCTTTCTGTGCATACTTTGTTTTTAAGAAAAGGTAATTGTTGCAGATGATCTGAAGGAAATGTTAAAAAAATTTAAAACACTATTTCTTTGTTAATCAAAAAATAATTGCAGTCATATTATTTTTTTAATTTCTTAACTGAAACATTGCCAATTATGAATTTTCAGTCAGTATTTCTTTCATTTTAATTTTACTTTTTATCACAACTCTTAGACCATCATTCTATGACTGTTAGGTAACAATGCATATCAGAAAGAAAGAAAAAACTTCTGGCAAAAGTTGTGATAAAAAGAAAACTAAAATCAAGATGGAAGAAATATGACTAAAGATATTATCACATATATAAAACACAGAATATAATATATTTGCCTTTGCATAGCATGCACCCTTACATAAGACACCATCTTATTTTACAAGAATATTTTTGTGGAAAAAACTTTTAGTATGTTTTATCATATATTTATTGAAATATATTTTAAAGTGTTTTTCCAGTTGAAAATATATGATTTTGTGCCAACAAATAATGTTGTAACAGTCGACTGGAATAAAGTATGAAATTACATATTGTAACTTTAACCTTCAAAGGAAACTAAATTAAATTTACCAAAGCAGAAAAGAAATACTGGTACATTGCATCAATGGGATCATATAAACAAAACAAACTGATTATAAAGCAAACAGTAAAGTACAATAAAAGTGAGTTCTTACAGATAATTACAGTAGATACAGAATATTTCCAGTAGTATACAACAAGTAACAGGGAAAAAACTGAATCAAAGCCTATATAGAAATGGTGCCTCGATAAAAACAGTAAATGATTTTTCAGTAAACAGTACCATAAATGTTTATTTAATCATCATTCATAAAACCTTCAACATCATTCTCTTCAGAAGGTAAATAGATTGATGATTTGGCTTGTATTTAATATTTTATTATGAGTAACATATTTTATGCCGAGCATACACAGGCACATCAGATGGTTTAGCCTACTGGTACAGTATTCAGTTATTTTCTATTTGCAATATGGCTATATTAAGTGCTGGGAAGATTTTTGGTACATTTAAGAAAAAAACGTGTGAGGGTGAATAAGGTTATATATATATATAATACATACATACATACATACATAAATAAATAAATAAATTCCTAAGAGGATGGAATCCAGGTAGAACTCAATGTACAGGACAGAGTAAGAATATAATATAATTTTCCGATTTCTTTTTGAATTTGTAGGTCTGATGAATTGGATCGTGATTACGATTCCAATGTAATAAATTATAACCATGGAATATTAGTGTTTGAGCCTTTCATATTATATATATATATATATATATATATATTAATAAAATTATATATATATATATGTGTGTGTGTATGTATAATGCAACTAATAAGTGAAAATTATAAAAATTTCTGTATCTTTCAGGTGAGCAGAACTTCTGCCAAAAAGTGCTCATTAGATAACTAGAGTTATAATACTCAAATAAAGTTCAAGTAACTTACCTGACAGACCAACTTAAGAGCTTCACATCAAAACCCTAAACAGGGCCAGATATTAAATTTATTAATGCATAAAGTCTTGAGTTGATCTATCAAATGAGTCACTTGAACTTTTTCTTGATTTATTGAATATATATATATATGTGTGTGTATGTGTGTATGTAACACTTTTCACAGAGTGCACAGATACTATACTGTGATCTCTGAAAGAATTATTAAGAAGCAACACTGAGGCACAGAGCACAGACACTAACTACAGTAATTCATAATTCAAAACTGAGAGCCAAAGAGCAACCCTCTGATTCTAGATGGTAGAAGTTCTATTTCATACAAAAGTAATCCAATCATTTCTCATGAGTATTAAGCTAGTAAAGAAGAATGATCTTCAATTGTATAAAATATTTATCTTTATATCACAGATAATTTTTTTACTTTGTTTTATATATATATATGTGTGTGTATGTATAATGCAACTAATAAGTGAAAATTATAAAAATTTCTGTATCTTTCAGGTGAGCAGAACTTCTGCCAAAAAGTGCTCATTAGATAACTAGAGTTATAATACTCAAATAAAGTTCAAGTAACTTACCTGACAGACCCACTAAAGCTATTATGATGTAGCAGGGTAAAAAAAAAATGTGTCTAGTTATATTTGAAATTATATTTATTGAATGCACAAGTGTTGACTATGAGCACTTCAGCATGGAGTAAGGGTAAGTGAGTCTCGTCTGATTAACCATTACTACTGAGTTATGAGTTCATTCTTCACTGAATGCACCAAACTAAATAACAAGTGTCACTACATATAATTTTGAAATTTACATGCTTAATATAAGTTCCAGCCTAACACACTATCTTGAGTACAATTATTTATATATATATATATATATATATATATATATATATATATATATATATATCCCGGAAAGGGATATATTTGTTTGAAGTAGCAAAGTAGTTTTGGACTACTGTAACCGAGTAGAACAATCTAGCAGGTAACCGTAATGAACTGGTCCTTGTCGTAGTGGTAGGCAATAGACGTAGGCAATAGGCGTAGCCAATAGGCCTCGTTCCTGTACCTCCACATCAGTCTGTATTTATGGCTGACACCAGCCAATCATATTACTGAGGGGGAACCCAGGTGTATGCATATTCATTACATCACCTCCCCCGAGCTAAATTTTCTTATGAAATTTAGCTTCAATATTTTCTCTTTTTAGGGTCTGGACTTGATTGATTTTTTTCTTAAGTCTTTTTCGCCTCAATCCTCCTTGCAGTGGTGGCATTTGACACACTGGTACCTCTGGCCTTGAGGTCGGGGATACCGCCATTGGCGAATGTTGACTTACTGGAGCAGGAATTTCAAATGCATCATACAGGATTTCCATTGGAATCTCTTCGGTATTTTCCGTGACCTCCGTAGTGGGTCTGGGTCTCAATTGATTCCAATGTCTTTTGCACCAAAATCTTTCCCCTTTTATGTCATATATGACCTGTCCAATTCTTTTGGTTATCATTCCTTCTTCCCAATACATTTTTCCAGCCCTAAAGTCCTTGAAAAAAACATTGTCATCTAGCTTATACGCTTTAGTCATCTGGTTTTCTTTTTTAGCAGTTTTCTTTGCTGGACTAGGCAACAGCCTGTCAAACACAGAGCCGTACTTTTCTCACAAACATTAACTCTGTTGGCAGTAACCCTGACATTGTATTTGGGTTTGGCATGATTCTATATACTGCCAAAAATTTCTGAATACTTCTTTCATTCGTGTCCACGACTTGGTTTTTTTTCAATGCTCGTTTAAAGGTGTCCACAAATTTTTCAGCCTGTCCATTCAATCTTGGATGATATACTGGTATTGTCATGTGATCAATGGACAATGATGTACAGAATTCCTTGAATTCTCTTCCCATAAACTGCATTCCATTGTCGTTGACTAAAGTTTTAGGGAGTCCAAAGCAACTAAAAATTTCATTAAGCGCGTTTATTTTATTTGTTGCAGTCAGATGTTTACACTTAACAATTTCTGGCCACTTAGTGAAACTGCCCACAATGATCAGGTAATAAGATCCATTTATGGGCCCTGCATAGTCAATATGCAATCGAGTCCATGGGACATCTGTCTTTGGCCAAGGTTGAATCTTTACTGGTGGATCCCTTGCTGCCAGTTGACATCCTCTGCACTGTTTCACCAAATTTTCTACGTCTTGGTCACTCCTCATCCAATAAGTATAGCCTCTCATTAGAGATTTCATTCTCGAAATCCCTGGATGGCCAGTGTGAAATTCTTTCACAATTTTCTTTTGCAGAGTAACCGACATTACAATTCTATCTGCGTATAGTAATATCTGTTCGCAGATTGAAAAAGGTGACACACTAATTCCTTTTTTAGTTTTCTCATTCAACCAGACTTGCTTTTTCATTTTTTTTAATGAAATCATCATTCACTGCTGCTTTTTTCACATCTTCTAGTGTAACTGGTAGTTCTCTAATAGTGTTGCATAACAGACCCGACAATTCACTTTCGTCTCTTAGCGCCGCTATTACTGTTTCTTCCAGTGGTTCTGTATATTTAAGCATCAATCTTGATAACCCATCGGCGTGACCTAGCTTCTTTGAAGGCACATATTCTAATTTGAAATTATAATTCAATAGAATTACACCAAATATTGTTAACTGCGGTTTGTGGTCTGTTTGCAGAATAAATTCTCTTCCGTATAGAATCCTGTGAAATTTTTTTACAGCGTAGATTATTGCTAAACTCTCTTTTTCAATTTGACTGTAACTTTGTTCTGTGGGCAGTAAAGTTCTCGAGGCATGTGCTATTGGCTTCGTAGATCCATCCTCGAATTTATGAAGCAATACCACACATAGTCCCTCATTACTAGCATCTGCTGCTACAATGATTTTCCTCTTCGGGTCAAAATGCGCTAATGATAGGTCTTCTAATAGACAGCTTTTTTATTTTTTTAAAAGCCTGTTTGCATTCTTTCAACCATATCCACCTTGTGCCCTTTTTCACCAAATTATTTAAAGGAGCTCTCATATGATACATTTTTGGGATATAAATGCTATAGTAACTTACTAATCCCAAGAAGGCCTGGAGTTTAGCCACATTATCAGGTGCTGGCATATTTTTTATAGCCTCAGCCCTTTCTGGATCTGGTTTTCTTCCTTTACTGCCAATGATCTTCCCTAAATATTTTATCTTCTTTAAGAAGAATTTGCCTTTTTCAGCACTCAGCTTGAACCCGTATTCCTCAATTCTCTGAAATACTGCTCTAATATATGTTTTGTGTTGGGCCTCATTTTCACTTTTAATCAAAATATCATCTAAATAGACATTTGCATACTCCATACCAGCCAACATTGTGTCTATTATTTGCTGGAATAGGCTTGGAGCTACCTTCAATTCAAAAGGAAGATGATTTAGTTTAAAAATCACTTTATGTGTGTTTATTGTCAGGTACTTCGAACATTCTTCACTGACTTTAACCTGAAGGTAAGCCTCCGACAAGTCCAACTTTGAAAACACTACCTCTGTTCAATTTAGTGAATATATCCTCTGGAGACAGTAGAGGGTATGCATGGCCTTTAACACAATCATTTAAACATGTCGAAAAGTCAGCACACACTCTGATTTTTCGTTTTTTCTTTTTTATATATATGGTTGGAGATGCCCAATTCAAGTAATCGACTTTTGAAATTACACCAATTTTATCCAACCTTTCTAATTCCTCATTTATTGTGTCTAGTGCCAAAAATGGTACTTTTCTCTTTGGTTTAAAGATTGGTTTAACATTTTCTTTCAATTCGAAGTTGACTTGTTTTTGTGCACAGATCTAGTCCTGAAAAATCGCAAAGGAATTTGCCTTTCAAATCCGTAATAAATCTTTTTCTGTTTGCTTCGTCTTATAGTTCTCTATGACATTAACTTTGTTACAGAAAGAATTTACCAGTAATTCCCATAAATTAAACAATATGATCCAGTCTAAACCAAAGAGGTTTACTGAACCAGGAAGCACATACACTTTCGATTTGTGAATTTTTCCCATGAACGCAATGTTACATTTTAATTCACCTCTAAACTTTTCCTGACACTTCCCTGGCAATTTTGTCTGTGTTAATCAACAGTGGGTAACTGATTTTTTTCCATGTTTTCTCGTTTATTACTAAGATATCACTTCCTGAATCGAGTAATAATTTTACCCTCTGCCCATTTATTTTTACATTGAGGTATTTTCTTATTTGACCCTTCTCAATTTCGTTTTTAGACAAAACTACATTCACCTTTGTTTGAGATTTGATTTTTCTTTTCTCTGTTTTGCCTGACAATGGGAACTTCTATAGCCTACATGCCCACAATTAAAACATATTTTATCCCTAAAGAAACAATCCTTCTTTATATGCTGTCCTCCACACAAACTGCATATAATTTTTCTTTATTTATTTTGTATCCACTTCTGTTGTCTTACAGTTTGTAGTTTCTTGTAATCCAAGTATTATCTTTTTTTATGTTTATAAGTCGCTGACATTCTTCCGTTATTTTTTGTAGTGTAATCTTTGTATCCTGTTCCATGATAGTGAGGATTCTTGATCTAATTTCTTTGTCCTTCGGTGTTGTTAGACCCTGCACAAAAATTAGACACTTGAACATGTTGCTTGACAATTCCTTTAATTTAAACGCCTCACACTGTGCATTTCTTACTTTCTGTAAGCGTTGCACAAGTTTTTTCTTTTCCTTGTTAATAAGCATTAAAACAAAAAATTACGTATTATCTGTTAACGTCAAACAAGTCTTTCTAACATTCTTCGTTAGTAAGTGTTGTCAACTGTATATTTTTTTTTGTTTTAACTTTTGAGGTCGTTTCGAATTTCGTCGTCAACTGATATGTCCCAGAAAGGGATATATTTTTTCGAAGTAGCAAAGTGGTTTTAGACTACTGTAACCAAGTAGGACAATCTAGCAGGTAACCGTAATGGACTGGTCCTCATCATAGTCGTAGGCAATAGGTGAAGTCTATAGGCATAGCCAATAGGCATCGTTCATGTACCTCCACATCAGTCTGTATTTATGGCTGACACCAGCCAATCATATTACTGTGAGGGGGAACCCAGGTGTATGCATATTTATTACATCAGTGCTCTTAAATAAAAGCCAATAATTATTCTGAATTTTATTTGTTGTTGTGTGAATAAAATTGTTAGATCATTTTTGTTGGTGAATTTTTGATTGACATTTAATCTTAAATTATTATCAGTATGGTGATAATATATTAAAGAAAGACAATGCATTGTTTTTGTTTCATAAGTAAACTGTATTGTACATTCGATCTTGTTTAGAATGTACATTTGAATTTATTTATGAAACAGAAAGTACAATGATACAGCCAGCCATTATATTTAGTACAGACAAATGTCAGACATGTTACTGGCCTAACTTCAACAGAAATAACACTCAACCTTCACATCTGATAAGCCATCAGTTATAACAATAAAATGATTGTGACAAGGATTATTAAAATCATATGGTTAAAAACTATTATCTCAGATATAAGTGATAAGTATCTTTTATTTATATTCACAAATTTTTGAGTAGCATTTTTTATACCAGTCTGTAAAACCATGAAGGTTTTGTAAAAATATTTTTAAATATATTTTGATTTGTATTCAAAATAATTCCAAAACATAAAATGGAAACGCTTACTCTAATTGGGCTTCCAATTGGCTCACTTGTGCTTTCAGTTCACTTAAAAATCGTTCCTAAAAAGAAAAATGCAAATACTATTAGAGAATAATTAAAAGAAATGCTTCATGATTATGATTTGATCAAACTGAAAATTTTCCTTTGAATCAAAATATTTGACATTTAACCAAATGACCCAAAAACTGACCTTGACCATAATTTCTTCATTAAGTACTGCCAGGCGTTCAGTTTTATCATCAATAGTCATCTGCAGAGAGTCTTTTTCCCTATCCATTACACTGATTGTAGACCTTAGCTGGTTGATTTCATTAAGATTCTGATTAGACACTTTCTGTACTTCTTGTACCTTCTCTTCCAGGTGGGAAGTCTTGTGGTTGGCACTCAGAACATCATCTTCTCGGGCATTCAGCCTGCGTTGCATTTCAGCCATTGATCTCTCTGCCTCTTCGGCAAGAAGCCTGAAAATATTTATTAGCAAAAATAAACAAATACAAACAGCTAAAAATAAGATGTGATACTTTAAAATTAACACAACATATTTCAATTGATTTTGTTTCTAATAAAAATTTCCTTAAGTACATATTTTCATCAGTTTAAGCAGAATTTGTTTCATGGGATCTCTACACACCTCCTGTTAACAATAGCTAAATAGTACATTCATGTAATATATTTTTATAGGTGCTAATTTTTTAAATGTATACAAATCATATTAAAATAAATAAGTATGTATTATATTGCAGGAATGCTTGTTGCGTTTATGTAGAAAACATGTGTCTCCTAGTATATTTTTCCTGTGACAATTATTGCAGACTCAAATGTGAGTCCAGGTAACAAATGAGTAACGCAAAAATAATATACAAAACAAATGACAATGCATGTATTAACAAAGTTACAAAAGTATTACATTAACAATAAATGAAGAATACATTTAAAGATGAATTTCATAAAGTATTTAAATTAGAGAATCTGTGTTTGTGTAGGCCTACATGATAGACATGTGTGTTTGAGTACAAAAAGTCATGAGAGAAAAATAAGACACTGAATATGAACATACTCCAGTGAGGGACACTTTTTCTCACGTGTGACTACATCTTATAGCTAGAGTTGTAAAAAGGGGAAAGAGAATGAGTGAGAATATCATTAACTATTTATAGGCTTAAGGAGCGTCTCCTAGTGACGTTTTTTTTTTAGGAAAGCCAAATGGAATAACCTACAATTTTAAGCCAATTTAATCTCTACTTACCTTTCCTTTTCAAAAAATCCTTTCTCTATTGATAATTATTCAAAGATTTTTTATTATCTGTGACAAAGTTATCGACACAGATATTAAAACTGTATACATCAAACACTTCAAGGTCCTTCAAAAATAACTATTCATTTTCATAGAAAACATCTTTATCCAATAAGAATCATTTTCTAACTCAAGACAAACTGAAGAGTTTTTTTTAGTTGGAAAAAAAAAAAAAAACTTAAATTCATAAAAAAACATAAAATAAAATGAATTCACATTAACCTTTATAATTCTGTATGTAACTTCATTTACTGTACAAAAAGTTTATCTTGCCATCGAAGGTGACTGATCCCTGAACAATAGTGTGTTTGGATTTCATAGTTGTGTTGTCATATCCTGATATGGCAACAGAAAACAACTTTAAATGAAATTAACAATAAGGATAATTGAGTGGCCTTGAAAAAGAATGCAATAGAAAGAAAAATAATATTAATAATTCAGTGTGCTAAAAGTTAAAAAACAATAATTGTCAAAGTTTTATACCTCATTTGAGTGGAAGTCATTCTCTGTTTAGAAGCATCTTCTTGTGCTTCTTGGATTTGTAAAGCTTGATTCTTTATCCGTTCTTCCAAATTTAGGATATCATCCTTCAGGTTTTTAACTCTCATTTGCAGTTCATCTCTCTCTACAGATGCCTGGAGGAAGAAAATGGAAGTTATAACTCAAACAATGTACAAGAAAACACACATAAGGAATATCATCTTAGTAATCCAGAACAGATTATGTCATGAGATCAACATCACAGCTTTTAAAATGCCAATAATTGAATCAGAAACACAATTGAGCAAGCAGATTTCATGGCAGTTCACAGTAATGATTTTAACCCAGTAGACAAAAGTCTACAGCATTAAAAGATAACCAGGAATTGCTTTCTCACTTAATGACATACAACTTCTTCAAATAACTATGTATCATATAAAATAAAAACAGAAATAAACTAAAAAGGTTGCTTCAAAAGTAACAACTCCTTTATCATTATGTTGATCCATGACATCAGAAGTGTTTGTTAGTGGTATGGCAATAGAAGCTGAATGTTCCCACTAATAACCTATATATTTTTTGCCTCATTACAGATAGTAGCTGAACAACAGTCTGGCTAAAAAGTATCTAACATGAAAGGACATTATTGAATTACAACATGCAGAAACAATTTCCTCCATTTACATTCACTGTATTTGCTATTTTACAAGTCTGGTATACAAGCTCTTATTCATTGCTGGCAAAAATGTATAGCCAATGCTGGTGACCATTTGCTTCTGAATTTAGTCTACATTTCTATATTTTTCACTTTTTTTCTATCAAGAACTACTGATGAGCCAATAGTAATTTATTGAATTACGACAACTTAGACACAGTTACATTTCTAGAGCATTCAGAGATTTAGCTTATTTTTGACAGTTTACAAGATCAATATGTCAAGAGTGTAAGTCATGGATCACAGCTTCCTCTCTTCCATAGCTTTCAAAATAATAAAATCAAATATTTCAACAATTCAAACTTCTCAGTATTGGTTGGTGTTCACATCAAAATTGATGGTTATGCTTAACTTATAAACCATGAGCTGGGATATCTTTTCACATGCCACTGATGTTGGTCTCAAATTTACATATTTCTTGTATAACTTTGCCACTGTTGTCCAAGAAAATTCAAGAATAGTGGCTATCTTGTAGATAGAGTACTCCAATTTTCTGATCCCAACAAATGCTGTTGACTCCTGTCCATGTTCCATGACTACCACAGCTATACTACTTCTTTACCTATTACATCACATATGAGTGATCCAGTAGAATCCATTTCTACAAATGAGGGAGGATGAAATCATGTACTGCAGTCTCTAATCTTTCGTGCACTTCAATTAATATGAATTTAGTGACTTATATTAAGTCTATTCTACTTGGATCAAGCAAATTAAAAACAAACCTATTCCCTTTTAATCAAATAAGACAGGTCTTCACAAATCAATATGCTTACAATTTTAAGTTGTCCATCTAGATCTTCCACCTTCTGCTCCAAATGGGCACGTTCAGACAGGGCTGTTTCTGTGGAAAGCTGAAAAAAGAAAACAATTCATGATATTTAAATTATATTTGAATAATAAATTTTATAAGAATCCAAATAATAACTAAAATGTTTTATTGCATAGACAAAACTATGTATCATCAAGAATTGTAGAGTTTTACACTCAGACTTTTGATTTTTTTATATTGAAGTTTCTCTGTTGAAGAGAAACAGTCATTTAATTCAAATTATTTTGCAATATGTGTTGCCTTCTTTGAACAATTTCAGCAAAAGAATAGAAATGAAATGTAATATCAATTTTTCTATCTACAATGAATTCAATGTTTTTATTCACTATTTAATATCATTAACCAAACTTTCAATGCTTAAAAAAAATTCCAAAACATATAAGTTCAAATGTTTTAAAATGTGTCAGCTTCTAGATTCATTTTCTTATGCACAGTTATGGATATATGCATATTAAGAACTGAATAAATATTAGCTTGCTCAACTTGATGATGATGATGAAGAAATATTAGATGATATTTGTCTATATTCCTGAGATGAGGTATTATGTACACATTTCGGCCGTTGTATGCTCCGACCTTCTTCAGGTGGTTGGAATGTCGAACTGAACCCTTTATTTTGCTCACTGGGGTAGACTGTTCTAGTTCCACATGCCATGTTTAATGGATGTCAATTATTAGTTATCTCCTGTTAATTCCCCTCACCAAGTTCTCCACTGCCTTAATCAGTTATTGAATTCACACTCCTTGGGTCCTGTCACTGGATCTAACATCTTTATCCACTGTGCCATGTGTCCTTGAATGTGAAGAAGGTTGGAGCATACAACAGCCGAAATGTTGTAATAAATATGGCGACAAAGATGAGGACAATAGTTCGAATAATGTAAATAGAATAAATGATATTTTTTTCACATTTACAATACACATTAAGTTTTATTCCCAAGTAGAAAAGATGAAATTGCAGTGGCAGAAGTTAAATATAAAATATCACAAATGTTTAAGCAATAAAGTAATAAGATGAACATATCGAAAAACAGATTTTCAAAAATCAAAAGTTAATTAACTGCAAAATAAGCTATTATTTAAAAACTAGCTTACTCATGTTGTTAAAAAATGATAGCTATATATAAGTTTTTGATATTTTATAAGTACAATTACAAAATTGATATTCATTTAGCTGTGAAATAATGTGCTAGCAAGAAATAATTTAAGACATAAATGGTGTTTTATTTGACTTATTTAAAATAACAGAAAATTATATTTCTATTCATTCTATGTTTGAAGTAATAAAAATGTTATATTTAGTGAACATATGTGTTTGAGATTAAAAAGAAAATAATAGTAAAATAAAACAGGATGAAGCAAAGTCTTTTCATTGGTCTTTAAACTGACTAATCAGGGGCAAGCAAGAAGGCAAGAATTTTTTTTTCAGTGAGGTTCTTGTCTTGGTCACAGATAGATGGCATAAAAAAGAAAAAAACAAAACAAAACAGACTGGGCATAGGGAAGTTCTTTGACTCATTTTGCCCTCTCCATTAGCTGATGAGTTGTCAGCAATATATCCTTGCTGGAAACAATGAAAAAAAAAATCACAGCTACAGACTTTCACATGTTATGACAATCAAATCTCCTACATGAGGAAAAGATGACTTTTGATTTTCATGGAGAAATCAACATTGTGCACTTTAGCATAGTGGCCTGGGGACAACTGATACAACACACTAATTAGTGACAATTATATCCCACCCAAACACCAGTGTGAACAACAGAGTAGTTAAAGACAATAGCAAGTACCTTGAGCCTTTCTCGTAGACTATCTCTTTCAGTGGTGATTCTTTGCAATTCTGCAGTAGCATCATCTCTTTCATTTTCCACCTGGCGTAGAACTGCCTGAGCTGCCAAAGAGGTTTTGGGAGACCTGGGTGAACGGACCATTTCCCTACGCAACTTCTGCAACTCTGCTTTTGACTGAAAAAAACATCAATGAGAAATAAGTTTTTAAAAATATTTTTCTCTTTGAAAGTATGCTATGTTGAGGGGGTCAAACAAGTCTAACGGGCAGGTCTTATTTCATGTAACACACAAGTGGTCTCTCATCCCTTTTGATGCCTCTCTGGCTTTTTGCTTTAGGGGCCACTGTCTTATAGAGAACAAGCCTGTGTCTTGTCAGTTCTGTCTAAAAATATCATTCATCTAGAACCTAGGGCTTGGCTTCCTTGCCAGGATCATTTGACCTGATTCTTGGGAGACCCACTCCATTAAACTAACCTTCTTTGCCAAGATCATAACTGTCAAAACAATTTCTGTAACATCTTTCAGATGTTTATAAAACAAAATATCGGCTGACATTGATATTGCTACAAAACATAATTAACAAAGGCTAAAGGTAATTTAATATAAAGGCAAACTTTGGTTTGATTTGGTTTATGGCATATCAACTTCATTGGTTTATTTAATGCCAACAAAATTTTTAGGATATGTTCGTATGAATAAAATATGTATTCTTTGTAAGAAATCAGTTTGTAGATCAGGTTTCATTGACATATTTTTGTAAAGGAGGTTTTTGTTGAGAGTATTGTTGGCAATATATTTTTTTTTCCAAAAATGTATTGCTGGTAATATTTTTTTTTAAACATATTACTAGTATTTTTAGTATAAAAATCTATTTTTATACTTTTATAGTGTTCTGAGACCAGTTGGTTGGTGGGGGGGGGTCACTATTTGTCCATAGCTGGAACCCTAACAGGTGCTACCACTCTGGGCTCGGGTGGACCAGAGAACAATAGTAATTAAGAGGTGGAGATAACTTTGATTGAAATGTTTGAATTATCAAAAATAAAAATAAAGACAATTTAAAAATCATAACAACATGAGAAAAATTTTACATTCTTTTATCGTTCAGTTTTTGTTTTTAAATTTGACTCAGAAGAAAGAGAACCTACCTCTTCATACATGTCGCTCAAACTGTCTCGTTCTTTAGTGAGAACTTTCACATTGGCACGGATCTGGAAAAAAAAAATCAACATTATAAGGAAACATTCCAAAAGTTGAACTCATTCTTTGTTTTGCCATTATTATTACTACAATGTTTTAAGAGTAATACAAAGAATTATCATATATTTCCACATATAAGGTGACCTTTAGATAGGACAAGATTCAAAAATAGAGCAAATTTTCATGAATTTATCCTATACCTGTAGTATAAGATGACTGCTTATTGATTATACAAAGATCATGTTATTGGAAATGTTACTTACTGTATCCTTAGAAATTCAAAATAAATGAAAAAACAAAACCAATTCTATATCATGTTTTTCTTACACACGTCCCTGAAAAGGGAAACCATTGTTTTATTTACGTTTCATCATGTGGTCTCTTGTGAATACTGATTCTGATTCTTCCTCTTTTCCTATATCTAAACAGTTACAAACAGCCTGGTTTACTTATAGCCATTTACTTATACTTCATCAACAATCACAAAATACCACTAACTGTACAATAATAGTACATTCCATTGCTGTGAACACAATCATAACTTGATGTTTACATTTTCTCAGCTGAGCTTGCATGGTTACAAGCTGATTTCATTGATATGGAATTATTCTTTGAATAGGCAATTTATTATGAAATGCCAGTAATATATAAGGTAGAAATGGTTTTATTACTTTTATTATCAGTTTATTTGATAATGTGAATCTTTTCATGTACATTATTGGTTATTGCACCAAGGCCAAGTTTAGCCTACCAACAAACATCACTCAGAATTTAAGGTTTATTTTTTAGAATTGTAGTATAAGATGACCCCCAATTTTTAAGGGTGTTTTTTTGGGGGGGATTTAAAGATCATCTTATATGCAGAAATATACAGTGCTTCAACTATTGGAATGATAATGGCTCTTCTCAAAATTAGTTATGCTAATTAACCATTTACTAATTAATGTAATTGAATGTATTTTTTTCAAGTAGTGATAACAGAAAATCTTTCATCATTCTATTGTATTGATTTGAACAAGAGTAAAAATACTAAAATACATTGATGTATAAAACTCTATTAATATATACTAATAGAAGATACACTGTTCAAAAATATTAGTTTTGAAGACTTATTGGAAAGAAAAATATTGATTGATTTGAAGCTTGGAGACATGTACTGAGGTCAGTTAATTAACCATCAGCAAAAAAAAAAGAAAATATTCATAAGAGTAGGTACCTCCAAAAGAAAAAAAAATACCTATGGTTCAAAATGCATTTTTAAAAATTAAAAATCTTTCCTTAATTTTTTATTTTAGTTTTAATCCCAAGATAATAGATTAAGTTTAATATCTGCAAATAAGCAAAATATTTGCTGGATTTCAAACCAAATTTAAATTGATTGAAATGATTTTTTTTAAATTGCTAAAATCAGTATATTGACAAATCTGTCAACACAACAATTTTCTTTATTAAAAAAGATCTTTCAAAAATAAAATGCACTTCTGTGAAACTTTATTTGAGAAAGATTAACTGACTTAAAGTTTAATTAATCCAAATGAAAAAAAATATTACTTACTTTTGGCTTAAAAGTATTTTTTTAAGATGGAGGTGTATGTTTTTATGAAGTCTGAGAGATTTATCGATAGCTTAATGTTTGGCATTTTTAAGTAAAGGGTACATAACTGTAAAATTATTTAACAAATACAATGTGAATGTCTTCTTTATGTAACTTTTTACCCAGTAATTTGAAAAATTTAGGAAAATCTTCTAAGTAATCTATTATTGATTTTTAGGTACTTTAGCTTTATAATCTTACTTACAAAGACACTTGTTGAAGAATTGTTAGAAAATTACCAATAAATTTTAAATGTACTATAGGTACAGGGCTCTTATTTTCTGATAATGTTGTGTATGGACAAAAATTGGCATATTTATAAAAACAAAAAAATATTCAGCATTTTTTTTTAAATACTGGGGAGGTGGTCACTGTATTGTTGTAAGCTTTCCATTTATGATCAGTAAATACAGATTTGACTTAATAACAATATCACCTAACTACCAAAAATTTATACAGAATTTTAAAAGATTTAAAACTTCATAAATTATTATAATTAAAATTTTTAAAAAAAGGAAAACAATTCTTGTAAAAATTCATTATTCATTGAAAAATGTTTTTTTGCCCATAATATATCTTATTCATAAAAGCAATTAAAAGCTATTCTAATTAAATGACATCTTAATTTTATTGCATTTTTTATTTAAAATAAGTGGGGTATAACAGATATAGAAAAAATTTTTTACCAAGATTTTCTAAAAAAGAAACATTTCTAAAATAATTTATTTATGAAAAATTCCTAAAAGTTTCATTAAAATCTAAGAATTATCTGATTTTTGCAAGAATTTCAAAATTGATGTGTTTTTCACAACAAAAAGACACTCAGATTTCCCATATTAATTTATTGTCCCTTGTTGATACACAAAAAATAAATCTAAACCAAAATTATTAAAGATTCTAAAAAGGATGAAAAAATATAATTTAATAATAAAAAAAATCCATTGGTCTTTCCTCTTAATAATAAAACAATTTTGATGTTTTTGTTTTTAAGTTGGGTGCCTTTTTTCATCACGTATACACATTTTTAGTGAATCTTTGGCAGTACCTATGTAGGAGTGGCTGATTGCAAATAGTTAATTACTAATTTTCAAATCAAAATTCCTTTACATTTCATTCTATACTATGAAGGATTTAAAATTAACTTACTTCATTCATATGTCGTTCAAACTTCTCCAACATTTCTTTCATTTTGTCCCTTTCTTCACATACTTTCTGCAATTCCAAATCATATGCATTTTGGTTCTGAAATAAATGGAGAGTAAAATCAATTACACAAAGTACAAATTAGCTTGACTAAAAGTAAATTATATATATTTAAACATAAGTAGCATATACAAAACAAATAAACAATGTAAAATGTCATATATAAGCAAGACATGTAAATTATCATGAAAGTACAAATATACATTTTGGTGGGGGTGGGCGGTTAATATATCTAAAGATTAAATTTTCTTTTCCTGAACTGAATTTGAACTTGAGTGAGGCTTATTTTAAATGCATCTGTATTGAATGAATGCTGACAAGTTTATCTTTAAAACACTTAAAAATAAAACATAACAATTTTGTTCAGATATGGTATATTGTTAGTGAAAAATGAATCTATTTTTGAAGGTTTTTGAAGTACTGCTGAGAGCTGATCTTTTTATCAATTTTATTTAGCAAAAAGACGCTTCAATAAGTAGAAAAGGCAAAATTTTCTTAGGGAGATGTGGTATTTTGAATGATTATGCTTTTTGACTGCAACAGCTCAAACTCTTAATGAAAATCAAATCTGAATTTGGGTACAAAAGAAATAAATTCAAAAATGAAATACAAGTGAAACTCACTTTATTGGAAGGCACCCGTACTGGACTGGGGCTCCGTCTAAGTGCTTTCAGTTGCTCATACTCAGATTTAAAATAATCCCTTTCTTGCTCAAGCAACTGGCAAATACGCTCATAGTGTGAAATTGTCTACAGAAACAAAGAAAAAATATGTATAAATAAAACAGGTTATCTCACTGAATCAAATAAAAATATAAACTAATAAATAAATAAATAAATAAATATATATATATATATATAGTGTACTTGCAGCTTTGATGGAACAATAAACTTGAAATACATAATTAAATATGAAGAAGCAATTTGAAAATGAATATCTTTGCATTAATACCTTAGTGTCTACCTAGCTACTTATATTCTTACCTCAAGTGTGCATCAAATTAAAAAAAAACAAACAAAAAAAAAACAGTTTCACCCACCTACAAAGATAAAGGGGGTAAAAGAGTAACAAAACTGAAGACAACAACTTTGTCTTAGTTTTGTCAATCACTTTCTCCTTTTTTCACTCAAATTTGTTTTCCTTTTTCTCAAACTTTCTTTGTCACTTTTTATATTTTCTCTTTTCCATTTCTCTCCTTTCTCAACTCAATTCTGATGGCACTATCTCTCTCAAGTTTATATATATATGTGTGTGTGTGTGTGTGTGTGCGTGCATATGTTGAAAAGTTGGTTTCAAAAAAGCAATAGATAACTCTCTCTCTCTCTCATTCATATATAATTGACACTTATTTACAGAAGACCATCTCTTCAATGTTCAAATGAGCAGCCATGTGCCTGCAGATGACTTTGCAAACCAGCCTCACTCATGTATGCCTTTTCACATATGTTACACCTGAATAGCTTTTAGAGAGTCTTGAAAGTGGTATTCTCCTGTGCTATTTCAGTTCAGCTGCAGACCTGCAAAATTTATCATAAAACTGACATAAGTGCCATGCAGGCCAGTCAGAATGGACATTCATATAGTCAGCATTAGATTGACAATTTTTGTGCAATCTTAAGTGACTAGTTAATTTGGCAAATAATAAAACAACTTTCCCACAGATGTTATATACAAGCTCAGACTGAATATCTTCTGGGATCAAGTCTATATCCCTTTTCCTAAGAGCTCTTTTCAACTTCAAATTCTCAACCCAACTGACCTCAAACATCACACACACACACATATATTATATATATATATATATATATATATATATATATATAATGAACCAAAGTATTGATAAAATCAAAACAAAACTTGCAAAGTGACCAAAGAAAAGAAAAACTAATAAAAACCAAAGAAAAAGGAAACAAACTGCGAAAAGAGCAAAAGACAGTCACCTACCTAAATACTAACAGATGGTGCTCTATATATAAGTGACCAAGACAGAGCATTTACACTTCCCAGTAACATGACTCAAAAAGAGATAAAGTTCACACCACTATTCAAATTTTACGCTACTATGATCATCAGCTAACCAGAATGTTCTGGTCACCTAACAAAACTCAAGTAGAGGTCTAGACTTTATCTCTTTTTGAGTGTGTGTGTGTGTATGTGTGTAACAGATGAAGAAAAGTTCAATGGATTTTCTTTGCAACTCACTTTAAGTTTCACTAGAATCGGCTAAATCTATTGAATTCATTAACAGATATCATTTTTATATATGTTACATAAAAATCTTGGTCAGACTCAAAATAAATTTCAATGAGTCCTATTATATATATATATATATATATATATATATATATATATATATATTCTAGAAGATGGTCTCAGATGAAATTGAAAGTATTTTGGAAAAAAATAAATTATTTGAAAGAAAATTTTTGAATTTTTCTTGATCAATTTTCTACAACCAAGAAATTAATTTGTGGACTTAAAGGATTAAAAATAAAATAAATAGACATCTAAATTATTTAACCAAACATGCTTGAATGAAAATATGCTGCCTATATATATATATATATATATATATATATATATATATATATATATATATTTGGACAGTTTATCCACAACTTTGAGTATAATATTCAACACCTTATACCAAATTTTGAAAAATACAATAAAAAAAAAATTAAATAGACAGATCTTGTCAGGTTTTTTAAGCAATCATTTTTTTGTTGAACACTTGTTGCCTATATATATATATATATATATATAAATAAAATATACATAATACCTTACATTGATTACCACAAGTCTGAGTTTCATATATATTACGTAGCTCTGTTTTTTCTTACACTATAGAGTATATATATATGTATTTGTATATGATCAATTGCATGCTCATACATCTACTTACATTTACCCGTTTGGTTATATATATGTGTGTGTGTGTGTTCAGAGACATTATATCAATCTTAGACACAAGTGCCAGGAAATGACATTTTGATCCTAAGCAGACTACAAATACTCAGATCCTAGATAGAAGTGCTTATCCATAGGTAAAGAAACCCAGCATTTTTTATAGGTACTATATGATTCCATTTTATTCAATTCATGCTAATGCCCATGGAAAAAGAATGAATCCATTTCCATCCAGCCATAGGTTAAATAGCAGCATAGAGTGGGTTCTCTTGCCTTGAGATGACAACTTGCCTAAGAGAAAAAAAGCTGAATTCAAAACCAACCTGAAGAGGGATGGGCTCTGTCTGGCTATCTTACCCAAGTGCCCTAGACACACCACTTCTGCTATAGTTGCAGTACATGACGTGCCTTTATGGCACTAATCGACTATGGGGATCATGCTGTGATGTTACAATGCTTCTGCTAAGTTCTATTTATCATGGATCCTGGGATAGACTACAAAAATGTTTCAACTAAGATACTGATTGGTTGTTTTTAACAGTATATCAACTTGTATGAATTATTTAATGCTGAAATCTAAATATTTTGTACACAATTTTTATTTTCTGAGATAATAATAATTTAGTGATAAAAGTCTTACTAATTAACCCATAGCTAGAGAGGAGAAGAGATGGACTCATACCTTTCCCAAGGGCATTTGCTCATAAATGAATATAACAAACTCAATGGGAATTAGAACTCAGATCTCCGATTAACAATTCCAAGCCATTATCCATTACAGCAGCCGCACATCCAAGCTTATAGCATCTGGTATTCCCAAGCAGTTACCCATCTACGTACTGAAGAAACTGATTACTAAAAACTTAGCAAAAAGTAGAAGTAATTTTAAATCAATGCAATAATTGCTCTTTAATTTCTCACAATCAATCTTCGTATAAATTTCTCATTTACTTATCTTTAAATGCAGATCAAGATTTGATTTGGTCTCATATTCTAAATAGGTATTTTAAAAAAACTTTCAACAATGTTGTCTTTCTAAGAAAATACTAATGAATGTAAAACAAAAAAGGGGGAATAAATAAAACTCATCATTAACTGGTTAATTTACATACCAAAGCTAATACAGAAATAATTTTTCTTAAACTGTTGCCACATAAATATAGTTATTTACTAAGATTAGTGTAGTACATGGTATCATTCTGAGAGAATCAAACTCACTACAGCAGTAATAATTTGCAAGATTAGCTTACTTTTTTTTCATGTGGTCATATCAGAAATATTTACTAAGTTTAGCTTATTCTCTCCCCGCCCACGATCACAATGATGAATAACAAGCCAAATAACAACTGAATTCATTATATTCATAAAGATCAAGCATGATTAGTCTGCTATTGTTTTACAGTGTCTAATCTATTTTTTCAAATCATTCCACTCCAATGAAAGTAATAAAGCCACTAAGACACAAAGGTTTACTGAGTGTAAAAGAATATGAGAAAAAGAAAACATTATTATTATTATGAGGAAAAAGAAATCTTGCTGTGTAAATTGCAAACCCATTGAACAATTTATAACCACTTGTACATAAAAAAAAAAAAAAAAAAAAAAAAGGAGCATTTTATTCAGTTCTTTGAAACCACAGAATTTTAAAAACTTTAGTGTGTTTTTAATGGAAAGGGGTTAACAGCATGCAAAAGCATTCAGTAAAATATTTCAATAATATCAAAATAAATGAATTCAACACATACATGGATTTTATATATATTTATATACAGAACTAAGTGTAACATAGATCAGAAAAGTACAGAAATATATATTTTTATGATTAGTGGTAGTGGAAATATAATTGTGTGGTGCTGCATATGATGCACCACTTGGTTCATTTCTGACTAAAATGTCAGTTCATCTGAGGACTAAGAAGTCTCCCCAGAGGAGGAACGAGACGTCTTGTCACTATGGCATCCTGTGGTTGAAGAGAGAAAAAAAAAAGGGAAAAGTGAGAGGTTTTGAGTCCTTATCTTTTATATTGTTTTATACAATGCCATCTAGTGGATGTTAAGAGAAGTCCCTTGACAGACTAGGTGGAGTAATCACACAGGTTCTTCAGCTAAATATCTAAAATTATTTAGGTTTTTATATAATTAATTTTTTTTTTTTTGAAAGATAGTGTCAGCAAAAAAAAAAAATAAATAAAAATAAACAGTTTTTTGTTTAATTTAATGAAAATAAAGAAAAAAGAAAAAAAATAATTATTAAGTACTGTTCTCAGTAAATTATGTTTGAAAAAAAGAAAAAGGAATTAAATGTGAGTGTTTATGCAACAAGCAATTTGAAATTCCAAGTTAAATCTTTTCATATCAAATGTCAATAAAAGCAGCAGAAGTCAGGTCTAAAAGAACTAACCTGTCTAATACCAACTACAAAAAGAGTCAAATCTCTCTTATTAAGAATCAACAGAAACAAAAACATTCTTCCTTACACAAGGGTAATGGTTCTAAATACTTGGAGTGACAAAAATAACAAAAGCTAAATATTTCAAATTTGTTATGTCATCAACATTTCTATCATTTAAATTTTTCACTTCTTCTTTTCAAATGCAGATCAATATTTTATTTGGTCTCATATTCTAAATAGGGTGTTTAAAAAGCTTTCAATAATGTTGTCTTTCTGAGAAAATACTAATGAATGTAAAAGAAAAACAAAGGAATAAATTACTAAAAGTGCTATTCTTCATTGAAAATCAATCTGATTATGAAATGATTTTTAATTTAATCAGTTATTATCTGATCTTTCCACTAATTTTATCTTTGAAAAATTTCTGACTTTCATGTTTATTTTTTTT